ACTTTAACAGCTCGTTTGGACTGGGGCAGTGGGTGCATTTTAGACATTTAGTTCCACTTTAAAAATATAAGGAAAATTTGTGACATACCATATACTGCACATTGATATTTAGGTCATAGTGAATAATTCTTTTACAAGCACTGGTCAAGATGTTTTACTGCTTTTCTGAGATGATAGAATTATGAATGATAGATTATAAAGTGTGTAAACTTGACTGCCATAGATCCTCCTCTACAGGCCTGCTCCCTGATGGCTTATCAAAGCTGCTGTCCAGCTGCTGAGATGACAGCGCGGGGAAATCGCCTCCTTTTCTGGTGTCTGATTTGCTCGCGGCGCCTATCACTCAACATACTATCTAATGTGATGGGACTGCAGGAGTTAGCATAGTGGCTAACCGTGATTGAGAAGGACAAGCCACGAGGCCTACATCCTCATTTGGCGAAGGCAGGCAGGCAGGGCCCTGTTAGCCGCCCGCGCGCTAGGATTTGATCAGGTGGGCCCCAGATTTACGCTGGCAGAGGGATCAGATGGTACCTTGGAGCGACAGGGGAAGAGACAGGGGCGAAAGGGGAGAGAGGATGAAATAAAAGGGGATCACGAGGGGCGAGTTGACAGGCGCTGATTAAGAGAATGCAGATTAGATAAGGGAGGGCTGGACTGATGAAAGGGAAGAGTGTAACGTTCCGACGGGCGGGGGCGGAGGGGAGAGGTTGAAGACCAGAGGGGCAGGAGATCCAGTTTATCGCTGAGATAAAGGTTAGAGTTGGACTGATGCGAATGACAGCGCTCCGGGATCATCAAAGAGGGCGAGACAGGAGCAGACAGTTGGAGGACGTGGAGAGGGGGAGCAGGAGGGAGAGAGGGGAGGTAGGATTTTGGGGGCTTGTTAAAGATCAGCGCGTGACCCTACTCAAACAGATAAGAGCGTGGGGCTTTATGTGGGCCGTCACAGTCTGATGCCTGTGTAACTGATAGTGCATGGAGTTTTTAATCCACAAGGCTGGCCAGAGTCACCGCACAGAGGAACCAGATCACACTAATGGGAGTTAGGAGTCTATGTCCATATCATAGACTGTATAAATGAATGTAACTAACCTGTTAGCCGCCGCATTTCAAATAGAAAGTGAGCATGAAAGCAATTTAGCTCCATCAACTCTGACTTCAATTAACTTTCTATTGAAAAATCTCCCCTGCTGCTGTGAGCTTCGTCATTTTGGTCTTAAAATGTTGAGATTAACCCATGATCCTGTGTTTTTATTTCACTATTTTTTCTGTAAAACAAGATATGACCTAGCTTGATTCATCAGCCGGTTTCACTTCATGGAAACCATCTGACCTCGCATTAGGAGTCATTCGTTGACGGTAGGTGGGTACTTTTTTATTTAACCAATCGCTGCTATTTGGTTGTGACATTTTTAATGCGCCAAATCTCATAGGAAGAAGAGCAATAACAGTCTTTCCCTTTGATAAAATTCACCAAACATTCTCTTTGTTCCTGCTTTAAATCCTCGATCTCGGGAATCGTTGCCAACACAGAATATCTGTCTTCGTCTACATCCATCTCGACCACTTTGTTTACTGTTGTGCTGGACCACAAAAGGGGCTGAGACAGGCGCTTGAGTTTGATGTCATGGTTTCACAGCTATTCGCTCACTGGCTGGTGAGCGAGCTACAACTTCCCGGGTTCTTGCAAACCGTCAAGTGTATTCTGATTCCTGACCTAGTCGCTGGAGAGAAATGAAATTGAGCAGAGGCACTAGATGGCACCAGCCTGGCTAGATATGATCATTAATAACAGAAAAATGAGCTCTCCAGCAAATCAGCGTTATTAAGTATTAACATTTGAGAGAAGACTGAAATCTGAACTGATAAACTAATACAAGTTTGTAGAGGTCTAAACTACAAGGTTAGCCTGTTTTTTTATAACAAGTATATATATTTTTTTGTTTGGAAAAGAAATAATGTTGCTAAATAATTGCAGGTTTCACAATTTGTTCATTTTCATCATTGAAATTGTGATTTTGATTGTGGTTAATTTTGCAGCCCTATTTTAACTAACAAGAGTTAAAGCTGATTTTAAATGAGAGTTTCAAGCAAAGCTATACAGTGGCCTTTATCTCAAGTTCCTTTTTTACTTAAGTGTTTACAGTCTTAAAGGATAATGTAAACAGATGGTTGTGTTTACATTTCTTGTAAGTATAAAACACACAATGTCAGCTTTTTGTGTAGTAAGAAAATGGACGCTAAGTTTAAACCATATGTTCTCATTAGTATGCTTTACTTTAGTGTACACTTGCTTGACACCAAAGTAAATCAAAATGCACTGTGATCGGCATATTGATGCAGCGAGTTTTACATCAGTTTATATATTCCCAGTTTCCAAGCTTAGCACTATTTCCACTGTATTTCAAACAAAACAATGGAAAACAGGTTATGTACTCAGCAACCTAAAAATCTACATAGTGTTTAAAGTGACAATGTACCCACTTTTTTCCATATATTTTGGCAAAATGTGTACAGATAATATATTATAAAAGCAGCTCAAAATGAAACTGCTGTGTACTGTCTGCAGCTATAAAGCATTTATTGTTCAAGAATCACGTTAGCTTTGTCAGATCTGTTATCATGCAAGCTGTTTTAGCGTTATCGTGATGGAAAAAAAAAAAACTTCACTGTGGTCTCTGAAAGTTGTGAAAAGGGTTTATGAACTCATTGTGATGAAATGTTAGGATGCTCGGATTGCATAAGGTAAGTGAGGAAAACTTTAGGATCAATGTAAACTTTTTTAAAATGAATTAGAGTTGAGATATTCAGTTTTTCATGTTTTTAAGACAGTAAAAATCTGGTACAACAGCGCCTTTAACTATAATAAAATCATTTGCAACTAGTTCCAGTCTAAACCTTTATAAATAAGCCCTCCTCCACTACTTGAAAGTTTACCCCAATCACACTTGCACAAAGTTACTTCATTGCCCTGCCCCTCTGTGAATCCAATTCGCTTTCCTCTATTCTGAGTAATTCGCAAGGGGCCGCGCTAAATTGCTTATTAATAAGGCCACTTTAACATGACCGCAATCTATGGGAATGTGGCGCGTACCATAGCCCCGCAAACACCCACCAAACAGGCACGCACACACATACTGCTATCTGCACTTCTAATCTGCTGCTAATGAGGTCAGAGCTCTCATTAGGGCTCACACAAGAGAGAGGGAGAGAGAGAAAGAGAGAGAGAGAAGAGGAAAAGAAGAGAGGAACAAAGCGGATCACATGTCATGTCTCCCAGCGGAGGTCACACCATTCGCCTACATGGTGTGCTATTGAGCTGTAAGCGATCCAGCAGACATTTACACTGCTTTATATGGTCCTTTCATATGGAACAGTTATTGCGTAATGTTATGAAGGAGGAATCCGAGTGGGGCTTCTGTTTGTTGTGGTGGGGCACAGGGAAACGGTGGAGGATATTTGCTGTTTGCAGAGTCGAGGATGTGATGTAACAGACAGGAGCGGGGACCTCTTCACGGGTTGCACTCATGGATCTATAATAAAAACTGGATAAGGCATTTCCCCACTTGTTCTGGCTCGAGACCGACTAGTGGCCGCTCCACTGATACTGCAGCTTCCGGGAGCTTGGGCCAAATAAGAATTCTCCATAGAGAGCAACGCATTTTTTGGAAATTCAAACTGCCCGTGTTCAGCTGACAGGGCATCAACAACTTTCACAAAGGTTGGATTTTGTAGGGATTCTTTTCTATTTTCACAACATAAACTTTTTAAAATGTTTAAATCCTCAAATCGCTTAAAAAGTTAGTTTTCTAAGCCCCGCTCTAAGCCTGTACTAACTCCACTCTAGCAGCTCTCACTCACCACGCGCCACGACGTACACCTTACAGATGTCACACAGGTGGGAGGAGTAAATGCAGAATAGAAAATTATTTTTGGGCCCATGCGCCAATGAGCACAGGCCACTCAAAACAACGCGACGCCATCTTGGGTTCACCTTCCAGATTTTATTATAGTTCTAGTTGCACTATGAGGGGCATCCACCACATAGTGATCAATAATTCCAAACAAACTATTGTATCTTTTGAACAAGAAAAGTTCTTGACACAAAAAACAAAAACAAAACAGGAATGAATTATGTGCCTGAAACCCATAAATCATTAAAGAGGGGTGTTACGGCCCCTGTTAATTAAACATTACTTAATTTATTCCATTTTACATCTTGGTTTTATTTTTGTTACTTCCCTCACCCCAAACGAGCTGGGTCGTAACAGGGGGTATTACGCCATTAGCTTTTCAAAACCAACAAATGTAAAATGGTGATCTAAATATGTTATGTTAGAAATGAACACCCAGCAGAAAGTGGAACACCCCTGGTAATGGTATAATACTAATTCATTTTGGAGCTATGTCACAAAAAAAAAAAAGACAAAATTATCCTGGTATAAAATTAATAGTTTCTCTATTGGTCAATGGCTGTAAAGAAAAAAAAAAAGAAAAGAAAAAAAAAAAGCTGTATGTCTCTACCTTCTTCCATGAATTATACACATATGCAGTATAAGCATCTAACAGAACCCCATCAAAGGCTTTCCATAGCGCTTATATATACTCAATTTCTTCTGACCACTAAAACTAGTAAGTCTCTGGCATTTTCGTTTTTGTAACGGGAGTTCACTGGAGGTAAAAGTTTGGAGATCCCTGCTAAACTCTAAACTATAGAAATCAGAATACTTTCATGTCAACACCAACTCAAGTAATATCATTAATTTACACACTAAATCTCCATTGTTAAATGATTATGCTGCATTATCTGCCTACACCAGAATTCTTTTCCATTTCCATAACAAAACCCCTCATTAGACCAGACCTCGTGATGTCACTATACTTGTACTCAAAAGACAACAGAGCATTTTCCTACCATGTCTCAATGAAAAACTACAGTAGAATGCTGTAGTGGCATCTGAAACCAAGTGAAATATATAAATCAGGGTCAAGCTTACCGGGTCCAGGACAGGGGTGATAAGAAGACCCTTTCCCCACAGGAACTGTCTGTCTATTGTCCATGTAGCGCTGTCTGAGTAGAACCTGGTAAACAAAAAATAAATTAAAAAGGAAAACAGATAACAGAAAAGTGGAAAGTTTAAAAAAGCTTCACCTCAGTATTTTCCTCCAAGCGTCACTTACAAGACGTATAATTAAAGTTCCCATATTACGCAAAATTGACTCTTCTGAGCTTTAAGCAATGTTGAATTGTTGTTACCTCATCAAAAATGTACCTGGAGTTGTGTTTTGTTTTAGCAGTCTGTCTAAATGTCCAAAACTCAAAATATTCTGTTACAGCTTATGATAGACTTAGACTTAGACAAACTTTATTGATCCACAAGGGACATTTGTGTTTGTGTCAGTTTGAGGAGCTCAGTCGCATGGAGGAACTGTGAGTAGAGCCACTGCTCCTCCATGTCAAGAGAAGCCAGCTGAGGTGGCTCAGGCATCTGTTCCTCCCTTGGGAGGTGTTCTGAAAATTATATAATATGGCCCCTTTAAAGGTGCACTGTGAAACTTCTCTGGTGGGGGTTCTATGTTCCACAGTACATCTCCATGGAGACAAATAGGTGGCTCAACCTGACCAATTAGATCTTTAGACCCTGTTCAAGGTGTTTTTAACCGAGTAAGACAATACAGACCAGTTTAATGCTGTACTGTGGAGAAATCCAGACAAAGCACTTTATCCAGCAAGGCCTAGAGTACAATCATTGGACAATATTTTCATTTGATTAGAACGAATCGTGCAAATGCAGAGGCCATGTTGGTTTATTAATACAAACACAAAAGTCTCATTATTGATGGAAAACAAACTCCCTTTCATTGCTCTAGTTTCTCAAACAAAATATTTAAACAGCACTTTTGTTCTGTTCCCATTTTTGGACAAAGAATATTTGTTCCTCAATTGAAAACAAGAGCAGACTCATGCATATTCTAATCGTGAACCAAGTTGGATATAAAAGGCTATTTGTTTGTACTTTCATGTTTTACCCCAGTTCATCAAAAATAGAAGCCATAGCCAAGAGTTGTGTGTAAAAATGCATGCTCATTTGATATGCCATTAATTGTAAATGAATGTTAATTAATAGTAGGCTACAATGGTCAAATATCAAAGTAGTTGCAAAAGGAATGACTACCAGTAATAGTTGATGCAAACTTCTTCATTAGTGATGTCAAGATTATTTGGTTAATTGGTAATGGTCATTATTCAGGTCACAATATAATTATAAGAGCTTACAAATAATAATTGTGACAAGTTTAGAAAGAAATAAGTCATTTCAATTGAATATGAACAAAAAATTTAAGCTAAATGTGAAGTGCATTAAATCTGTCTTTAAACATCAGGCTAAAGACTCTGTACCTGATTTTTACTGTCTTAAAAAGTGAGGAACAAAACGGTTTGCAGTGGTCCAAAATTATTCCTCAAATACTTTCCGCATCCTAGCATTCTATTTACTAACCATGATGAGTTCGTTAGTGCTTTTCACAATTTGCTTGAGGAGTTTTGCTACAACTAGCATGCTAACCAGCACTTATTGATTGTTGAGCAATGCTTTTTAATTCAATGGAGACTTATTTTGGCCTCAAGAGCTGCTTATAGGTGGTAGTGCTGTACTGGGGCAAGACAAATAAAATGCATCAATATATTGTATCGTTTAATGTGATGATACAGTATCAATATAGTGGGCTGCTGTATCGATATACCAAAAAATACTCTTGATGATATATTTTACACAAATATTTTGTTACAGTGCTACAGTTTTTTGCTTGTTTAGAGGACAGAAACTTTATGTAACACATCTGACATTTTCACTGTTTTGATGATTAAAATGAGTGTGTTTTATATGAACTTTGCACAAGAAGTGGTTCAACAAAGACTTTTAGAATCACAGCCATGATTTTGCTATTTTTATTGGACAAAATCGAATAAATTTGAAATGTCAAAAGCTCATTGTATCGAGATATGTATAGTATTGTTCAAGTAATGATCTTGATTCTCCTCTATTTAGTTTATTACTGAATGTAAAGAGCCTGTACCAGATTACATTTATTGTAGTCAAGATAAATGATCTTTGCAGCATCTAATCAGGCACATCGTTACTAGGAATTATGGGAAACCAACTGCCTGACGCTATCCCAGACACTTGATTCTCCGTCACAGTGCATTTCCACAAGTAACAAAACAGCATATAGTAGGAAGAGATTGGAGAACTATAATGAAAAAACTGCATTTCACCATCCCAGACAGTTGCTTCTCTGTTATGGTGTCATCACAGTGACAAAAAAAGCTACATAGGCGGGGCTAAAAGTTCAAACTAAAAATGTTCGTGACTCATGGTTTGAAATCTGGTGGAGGTCATTAACATTTTGGTGAAGTTCTGAAAGTTTCTCCGCATGTTGTTAAAATTATGAACCCAAATGACAAATATGCAAGATAACGCCCCATTTTTCTATTTTTACAAGCAGCCAGCAGAGACATATCAATCTTCCTCTCATCCATATGCATTGGGTTATTTTTGCACTTTAATAACTTTCTGCATATGTTATCTCATTGAAATGGATTTTACAGAGAGATTACCTTCAGCTGCATGGACTTAATGGACAGGCAAGAACACAATGGTTTATCAATACTGTTGTTTTTATCAGTTTACCCACAAGTATTGCAATTTCATATAAATAGAGGTATCAAAAAGGTGTAGGATTTTTTCCCCCTCTAGTTAACACACATGTAAGTGGTTCTTTCCCTTCTGGCTGTTTAACTACGGTCTTAAATGTCTAGCTGAGACATTTATAATGTTTTAACCACGTTTCATGAAGGTAAAAGTATTTTTAGCTGTCCTCTGTCCAGAGCTTCCTCCAGATCTCATAAAAAATATATCCGGAGTTGTGTTTTGTTTCATTCACACCTGTTTAACTCAAAAACCGTGATTATTTAGGCTGTGTTCTTCTCTCACAGAGAAAACACTCTGTTCTCCACCTTGTGATGTCATGTAGTGATACAGTGCTCCACAATCATTTGGATCATTTCAGCCTCAGAATTTCAAATCTGTACTAACTTTTTAACTTGAAGATGTAGACAGACTAATAATAACAGATTACTCAAACATGTGAATGAAACAAAACACAACTCCAGCTTTTTTTCCCCCCAGTTTTTGATGAGATAACAACATTATAACATGGTTTAAAGCTTTCAATTTTGTTACTCACAGGGATCAGATCATAATGAAATTTTTATCATATCGCCCGGATCCAATTCTAAGCAATAAAAACACATTCTTCTGTTTAATGTTCGACTACTTGGAGTGTGAGCTCAGTCTTTTTCTCAGTGGTAAGTTCTCTATTCTAACATGAGAAGGGCATATTGTTAGACACTCAAGTGCACATACATTAATAAATTTATGCTCGAGCAGGCAGGAAGATGTGTGTGGATTTAGACATGCACAATGGTTTCAGAATGTTCCTATAGTAATGTCCCCCCTCACGTATACTGTGTGTGTGGGTGTGTTGGGGTGGGCGCTGCTGTGTTAATGGTCACAAACCTAACCCTATAAGTATTGCAGTAATTATTTTTTTCTCATGCAACCCTTCAAGACATCCTTATTGCTGACTTACTCGTGCATCATGGGGCGCACCACCGTCTCCCCTGTAGTGTGGGCTTTGTAGAAGAGCGTGTACAGATATGGCAGCAGAGTGTAGCGGATGGTCAGGTAGTGCTTGGAGCTCCTCACCAGGGTGGAATCGGCCCCGTACCAAGCAGGATCCTGGGGCTGGAAGAAAGGAAGATGGATGAGCGTGGATGAGAGGTGCAGGCTGGGAGATTGAGGGGGGAGGGGCAGAGAAAATAACCATTAGTCTCCACTGTCTTTCAGTACAGAGATGTAGTTAATTAAAAGGTGAAGGGAGAGGAGGGGAGATGTGAGCTAGGGAGGTACAGGTGGTGAGGTGGATGACTTATGAGAAATGTGGGTGGATTGTGTCAAGGAAATATAGCAATTCAAGAATAATTTCATTGCTTTTATAATATTAATACTAATACTGAAAATATATGTGTCATATAAGCAGAACTTTTACAGACACCACAATAACTTTATGGTTATAGATTTATGGTTATATGGAAATAGATTGTATAAAGAAGAGGACTAAGTGAGTATGACGTCATCCATAGTGTTTAGCTCCATTCATGTGAAGCTCGTGTTACAGAAAATTTGGAGCCAGGCTCTATATTATAAATAGGATTTATTTCATGAATTTTTTGGGAAAAAAACAACAACAAAAAACTAAACAAAACAAAAAAAACCACAAAAAAACAAAACAAAACAAAAAAACACAAAAAAAACCAAACAAACAAAAAAAACCCACCAGGATCATGTAGAGGGGGTTAATACAAACATTTTAAGACCTAAATGAAGAGGCTCACAACAGCAGTCACAGAGAGAGGGGGTCACAATATGCTAATGTTAGTCAAAGGGAGCCAGGGTCAGTAGTAGCCGGAAGAGCCCGCATGCAAACTTCCTATTTGGAACACAACTGCTAGCATGTTACTTATGTCCCTTTATAAATACAGTCTATGGGTTCGGCATAAATGTATTTCTAAATCACACCCAGTGGCTACTACCGACTACACCTCAACATTAAATAAGCAGGTGGTTGGGGTGTTATGCCCAAGAACACGAAAGCAGTAAACACTGGAGAAAGGGGGTGGGACCAACAACCAGCCATGTCAAGCATCTTGAAATTACATGATAATGTTTACTGGCCAAGCTACTGCCTGAAATTTAAATTGGAAAAAGTCTTAATTTTATTAAATGCCATTGTGGTGACCCTGACAGTAGCAGCTTTTTAGTGCAGTAGAGGAGAACAGAATGCACAATAGCGAGTGATCAGATCTTCTGGGTAACTGGATAACACCGGTAAAATTTGATGAAACGGGCGTCGTGACAATCCTATGGGCGTGGGGAAAAGCAAAGTTTGGTGTAGGCAAACAAAATTCGGAACAGTGATAGCAAAGAACAAGACAAGCCAAAAGTTCAAGTGGCGTACCTCTATGATGAACAGAAAGTTAGCCATATTTGATAAAAAAATTCAACACCATTTTGACAGTGTGTGTGTAAAACGCTACTAGTCCCTGGTTTTTGGTCCAAATGAGCTCAGATTTGGCACGTCACATCTAGAGACATAAGTTCACCAAAAATATCTGTTTTTTGGGGATATTCCTTACAGTTTGCCTGTACCACGCCCGTGAAAAACAACTTAATTTCCTGTTTCTTAGATTACTTCTCACTGCCACAGGCGTTGGTCTAGAGAGCTTAAATTCAAACCACAATTGCATGATCCTGGTCTGAATGTAACAGACTATGAAGTCTAATACAACTGAACAGTACAGCGCCCCCTACCATAGACATAAAACGTCAACATTATCAGATTTGTACTGAACCAATTCCTAATCTTTACTCTTTGGTAGACCCATCGTCGACTAAAGTAATTCTTGTTCGACTGAAGACTAAAAGCTAACAAGGGGGCGTGGAAAAAGCTTTCAAAATGATTATGCATCTCTATGTATCTGACGCTAACTGCAATCATAAGACGACACCTGTGAGGTATTTCACGCAAAAAACAACAATGTATGCAGAAAAATTTACAAGGAAACAATGTATTTATATAAAGACAATTAAAGATCTTAAGAATCATGAGTTTTACAGATACATAAAAAAATAACAGCTAACTCACTCACCCACTTCTTCTATTTGCTGTTGTCCCATATAAACCCGTATAATCTAAATAAAAGTATTAGTTGGCTAATATTCACCAATTAATTGATTAAACAACTAAAAGCCTAGAACCCTACTCTTTAGATCAGACACACTGGTGCTCACTGTACTAATCTTTGATCTGACTATCAAATACTGCTAAATGTGTTTTTGTTTAGTTCTGATTTTAAAACTGAAGTCCACAAAGAACAATTAACAAAAAAGCCTTATCACGCTTGACTATTATAGCAATGAGACAGATTCACAATACTACACTCATCAGCACGACCTGTTATAAATAAGTGGGCCTTAATGACATTAATAATCATTAGTGGTGAATTGTTATAGAACGTTCTGAAATGGGAAATTATGAGAAGCGAAGTTGAGCGATTGAAACAAAAAGCGGAAAAAAGTGAGCCGCCAAAACTGAAAAGTATGATTTAATTTCCATGATAGTGCCGAGTAAGAGGGTGATTAGCTGCTAACAGGCCGTGCTCCTCTCATCGCGCTAATCATTTATGCCCCGAGAGAATGTTCTGGTGATGAGAAGGCTAGGCTACATGTGTGCGTGGGTGCGTATGTGTGTGTGCGTGTATGTGCGTATTGGCCTGCGTTGCCATGTAATGAAAGCCGTGATTAGGGCAAAGCAAAGGTCACACATTAGCCATACTTCAGATTCATCACGAGCATGTCTCTGCTCTCTATGCGCTCCGCTTCTCAAATGGACGTCCACTGATCAATGGTGGTGCATAGAATTACTGGTTATTCTGGTGTCTGGCTTAGACTATATATAACCTTGTATTTAATTACTTATCCAGTTTACAGCGAAGTTAGTCCTGTTGTTTACAGTAATAATAAATAATACATCTTTATTTAGAAAGTATGGGTAGCTGTGAGTTTTATTTTCCTACATAGTGGTATTGGTCTGATATTTATGAGTCTTCAGACATTTATACTGGAAATTTAGACAATATTTCGTACCAGTATTTTTTTTTCTGCACTGCTCCAGCCTCTGTGTGCCCATGTGTCATTCCGAGTTTATTCTCTGTGCGTCAGATTTGTCTTTTGAACCAACAAATGAGTAAAAATGGAAACAAAAGAGCCATTAGACCAGCTAAAAATATGGCTCTATGTTTACACAATCATGCAACAAATGATGATATGTCCCAGAGAAATATTCTTTGTTTGTGTATTATAGTGGTTCCCCCTTCTCATTCAGCCACTTCAAGTATTTAGCGTGATTTATGAAAGTGTGAGTAATCTTTATTCTCCTGTTTTAACTGCCACCGGTATGTGGCCATTGCTCTGCACTTACTTTGTTCTCCTATTTTAATTTATTAATCGTGATATGTGTAGAATTCTGCAGCAATGCGTAGTAATTTTTTGTAAAAAATGAAAAAAATCTGCTACTCACTGGTGTAATGTGCAACTATCCATTGCTAACTACACTGAGCTTTGTTGTGATGACCTTTACAGCAACATCGGCTTCCATTGGGCACTGCAATTCTTTTTACGCATAAGTCTACAAACTAGTTCCTTGTATTTAGTCATTTTAGGTCAATATTGCAACTTGAAGTGTCAAAATTATAAATGATGACCGTGACTATAACTAAAGCAGAAACAATATATCTTCTTAAGCATGCATTTGTGGGCCTTGCTCTGGATTTTAAAATCTTAATAGCAGTATTGGCAAAAATTGTCAGAAAGATAAATGTTGGATATTATATAGGCTCAAAAATCCATATCGGATTATCTCTAGTGCTTACCTAATGTGTCCTACATAGTTCTGGTTAAAGGTTCAGTCTAAATTAATTACTGGTTCATAATTAATTGGTCAGACTTGGTCTGTTTGGTTTCAGTGTTGCAATTAAATATTACATAAATCAAGTGTCAGTTCATTCGCACTTGTCCAGGCTGGAGCAAAAAGGTAAATGATCACATTTACATAATGTTTTTTCATACCTCCAATCAATGGGCACTCAAAACACTTTACGTCAAGGAGCCACTCAGCCATTAACATATTCATACAGTGTACACAGACACTGGCACGAGGTGAGTTAAGGGTGTTGCTCCAGGACACAGCATCGGTATGCACCTGTGGGAGCCTGGATTGAACTGCCAACTTACGATTTATGCAGTGGATCTGACACATCTACTGCGGTAGTGTGGTGTGCTTATGTCAGGAACAGGATTCAAACTGCCAACTTTTGGATCAATGAGTCACTCTTAAAAAAGCCCCATACATCATTCCTAAGCAATTTTTCAATTAAATTTCTTCAATAGAGCGAAAAGACATATATATTTAGTAAACTAATCAGTTCACGCAAGGACATACAACGATGCTGGTTCATGATCTTTCATTATGTTACTGTGTTTCACTTGGAAAGATTCACACTGCACAATAACAACATATAAGCCTTTACTTCCTCCATTCGTTTATATACTGTTTGTATGATTTATACTTCCTGCATGTGGACTTCGCAGTGAGTTTCTGTAAAGCACTTTTTAAGTCCAGTCAAGTGCCTCCATTCCCAAAGCAGCTATAATCATTTCCAACAACTCTGCTTCCCCAAACTAACCCACAACCCCCAAAAGTCCCTCTGCTCTCTTCATGCACCACTATACTCAAACATGACCATTTTCAAATCAAAACTGCTCTTGCCTCGGTACAGCTACAAAAGCAGATCTTGAACTCAAAATATGTCCACTGTGTGCTCTCTGCATTTAATTATAAAGCGGTTAATTGTCTGATAATTAGGATGTGCACATTAGCATGCTAGCTTTATAACACTGGACGACTGCACAGTTTCAAGTGAACTAGATGTGTTCATGTTTTTAAGACAGGAAAAAAAAAATCACGTACAGTGCCTTTAAGATGGACTAGGCTTCTCAGTGAGTTTCTGTAAAGCACTTTTTTAAAGTCCAGTCAAGTACCTCCATTCTCAAAGTAGCTAGAATCATTTCGGACAAGTCTGCTTCCCCAAACTAACCCACAACCCCCAAAAGTCCCACTGCTCTCTTCATGCACCAGTCTACTTTCTTCTCTATGGGGAAACCACACAGTTGAAATCACCTCTACACTGTTACAAGCCCCACAGCGCTTAGCTTTAGTCCAAATGTATGTGCTTATGTCAGGAGCTGGATTCGAACTGCCAAACTTCAGATCACTGACTTTTCAAAAATGTCCAATACATCATTCACACGAGTACTCCACACAAGTAGTACATTAAAAGCCCTGTACCTGACTTTTCCCCCATGTATTTCGGCAAAACTGGCCTTGACCCAGTACAGACTCATTGTATAAGAAGCTCTTGAGGTCACAATGTCTGTAGCATGCTGCACTATTGTCTGATAATCAGGAAGTATGTGTTAGCATGGTAGTTGTTCTTGGCTTTACCGTGGACTCCGCACTGAGCTCTGAAAGTTGTGAAAAGCGATTCTAAAACCATTGCAATGAATAATTACGATGCTCGACATGCATTAGGAAAGTGAGTATTAACTCCGGACCACGGGAAATCGTTTAAAAAAAGAACTAGTTCTGTTTTTCAGACAGTAAAAATGAGGTACACCACCTTTAAGATTTATGCCTCGACTTCGCAGTGAGTTTCTGTAAAGTGCTTTTTAAGTCCAGTCAAGTGCCTCCATTCCCAAAGCAGCTATAATCATTTCCAACAACTCTGCTTCCCCAAACTAACCCACAACCCCCAAAAGTCCCTCTGCTCTCTTCATGCACCATACTCCAACATGACAATGCTCTCAAAGGAGTCTTCTGCGGACCTCCTATTTGGGGAAACGGCACAGTTGAAATCACCTCTACGATGTTACAAGCCCCGCAGCGTTTAGCTTTGGTCCAAATGTGTGATGTATAAATCTGAAACTTGACAGACTAATAGAACAAGTATAGAAGAAAATGTCCTTACGCGGTAGCCTTGAGCGTTGTGGTTTCGGGAGAATGGGTAGAAGGCTCCCACTTGCATCCATCGGCGGCAGAGCTCCTCACTGCTGTCGTCAAAGAACCCACAGATGTCAGCCCCGATCTGAAACACAAGAATGATATTCTCATGACGGATGTGTGATATGTGTGAGATGTTGTAGCTGCTTTGACAACTGACAGAAGTGAAGGATGAAATGAAGTACAGACATAAGGGTGTGGGTGTATAGTGAAGCTTAAGAAACAATGTGTAATATCATTTGTATTGGCTATTCGCGTGGAAGACTTGTTTCTGCATTTTCATGATTTAGGTATTTTAATGCAAAGGTGGGTAGAGTAGCTAAAATTATAAGTAACATCATTATATATTAAGATAGTATAAATAACTAAAACTAATAATTGCCCAGGAATAAAAAAAAAAAAAGCTAATAACAAAACAATAAAATGTCAGCGATACAAAACACAACTCCAGGTATGTTTGAGATGAGGTATTATAACATACCTGAAAGCTCACTAGAGTAAATATTGTGTAAGACCTTTACAGGGTATCCACAGGTTTGACTACCCCAAATTTAAGACTTTTTAAAGACTTTTTAAAGACCACTTACATGAAAATTAAGACCAACATCGTACCCATTATGTGGGTAAAAAACACCAAATGCTATTCTAATGACCAACCAACTACCCAACTATATCTAGAATCTTAGAGCCACTGTGGATTAAATCGACACTTCCCCATGATCCATCCAGCATCTTCCTCCAATGTACTGATTGTTTACTCATTGCCTCCGGCGCCAGAAACCAAAGTACTGTTTGCGCATACTCCAAATTAGATGTTCATTCATGTTATGTGATTCATGTTGTTGTTTTGTTTTGTTTTTTTCCCCTTCCCTTTAACGCTGCACTGCAACCCGGTTGAGTATACAAAGAAATAAGCTAATGAAATTGAAGACATCTGTAAAAAAAATCTGACTTGGACAACATAATTTAAGAGTTTTTAAGGCCTTAATTTAGGAACATGAAATTTAAGACCTTTTTAAGACTTTTAAGACCCCTTCTAACCTTTAATAACAGGTTAGAAGAAAAGTCTTGATTTAAAGTTAGTTATAACCGGGAGAGAAAAATAATCATCATTTCCAAAAGCACAAAATGTAAATCAGAAGGTAAGTGCAAGAAACATAAACATTTTAATTATTTTAATGTTAATTACTCTGTGGGAAATAATTGCTGCTACTTAAAAATAATATTGCTCGCACCAGTACTACTATAAATAGAAGTAAAAGAGACAAGTGTGAGATGAAACTACTTGAAGTAACATTTCAGAAAGTAAAGTTTAAGTAAATATAACTAATAACTGTGCACATCTATGCAGGTTTTAGGCATAATAGACATTTGTAGTACGGTAATACTAGTATATAAAGTGTGTATAATGTTTCAATACTGGGTTTATGGTGACTGAACAAGGCCTGACTGATTCTTCTTCAAAGCAGTAAACTAAATATTTTGATCATAACTTCAAATTGTCATGAAATTGCATTGGAAAACTACCTTCATATTTTATTATATACCATCTGGTCTTTGTTTTTACCGGGTTTCATTCCTTAAAGGTCTCGCCCTTTTCTTTGTGACAATACACTGCTCCCTCTGTCATATTTTAGCCTGGCTCGAAAAAAACAATATTGACTTTCACACTCCTCCGTGTCATTTTATTTAATAGCCATCCCACACTCTTTTAAAAACCCATATTGAAACTTCAGTCAACAAATTCCCCTGCCATGGCAAAACAGTGACACCAGGAGAATACCCGGCCAGAAATCCTCTTTGAAAATGTCTTCCTTGATGCTCCCTCTGTCGCCCTGATTGTTATTGGCAGCCGGTGGATGTGGTCGGCGATCTTTATTTACATTAATTGCACCGTGCAGTCCAAGAAAAAGGCCAGTCCGTAGAGAGGCCAAGCTTGCCATTGTTTACTGTTGGCTGCATTTCACTAAGGGCGATGCTGGAATCGATTCAGGCACTACTCTAGTACCCTCTCTAGTCTGAATTCAACCAGGGACAAGCACAGTGCAGTGGGGTGGATGGTATTGTATGAATGGACTTTGGCGCATAGACTGTGGCAGGAAGTAGAGACATTAGCGATTAGGGGAGTAAGATGGATTTGTTGGGTAGAATACTGCCTCCTGATGATTGGACACTGATCGTGGTGAAGAAGTGGAGATGGAGAGGCTGAGGAATTTCCAACAGTGTGGCTTTAATCTGATCTTGTATTTCAATTACATGTGTTTATTTTTCAAATGGCCTGTCTTCTTACTTGATGGGGTCACCTGCTTATCTCCATGGAGATATATGTTTAACGCCATACTGTGGAAGACTCCAGACAAAACAACTTTAAAGGTGCACTACTTTTGCTCAAATAACTTTTCTGGTGGGAGATATGGCACCTGTTCATCTCGAAAGAGATGTTATTACTTTACCTGGAATGTTTCTGTGGCAGAGAATTTATCTATGTTGTATTTATCCCATTACTGGTGTTTTTATTGCTTAATTTAAAGGGCCCAAATTACTCCATTTCTGATCTATGTTATAATGTTGTTTCCTCATCACAAACATGCCTGGGGTTGTGTTTTGTTTCATTCACACATGTTTAAACACAAACCCTGCACGTTTGAGTTCTTCTCTCAAACTAAAAACACTCCTTCCATCTTGAGATGTCATGCTCCATACAACTTCACTAGAACTTGGGTAATTTCAGCACTGGAATAGTGAAGCTCTACTGAATAAAAGAGAAGCCGGTAACTTGAAAACTACCACTACATGACATCACAAGGTGGAACTGAGCATTTTGAACTTTGGAGCTGTAGATAGACTGATAATAAAGGGTTACTCAAACTTGTGTGAATGAAACAAAACACGACTCTGGGTATGTTTTTCATGAGGAAATAGCATTTAAAATGTCATAAAGCTCACAAAAGTCAATTTTGTGTAATATAAGACCTTTAATGAACATTCCAGGCAAACAAAGCTGAAAGTTGTCTCCATAGAGATGTTATTACCTTTTTTTTCCTTTTTTTTTTACAGGTTGCAGACAATCCATCAGAAAAAAGTTAAATTGTGCACTTTTAAACAGGTCATCCTAATCAAGAGGCAGTAGTTAGTACAACTTCCAGCTACTCCATAAAAAAAGAACAACTTTGGGCATTTAAAAAAGCTTCATTATGTGTTAGTGGTAACCAAAATGTCTCCAAATCAGCTTGACACTGCCCGACCGCATTATAGTTGGCATCTAGAAGCCCACCTGATGCGCACAGCTGGGGGAGAATATGCTGACTCCCTGTTGTGTTCCTCTGCCTCATAATATACAGAGTCCACATTGCTGTTGGATACTGTAAGCTCTGCACTCCTTTTTTTTTTCCTTTTCCCTTTTTTAACACTGTACCTGCAAGGTGTACTGGACATCATAATGCATGTTATTACAGACAGACACACTATATAATTTGGACCTATATGTCATTAAGCTCATGCCGAAACATACATCTCATGCTTGTCTATATTCAGATATTATTGCTTTACTTGGAATGTTCCACATTATGACATTAAATCTAGCATTTATTTAATTGCAGTTCTTTTTATTGCTAAAAGAATAGATGGATGCACAGTGAAAAAGTGAATGAACTTGCTTGTCTCCTCGGAGAAAGACACGTTTAAAACCATACTGTGAATCATTCCAGGGAAAGCAATAACATCAGACCTGCACCTTTAAAGGAGATAAAAAAATAATAATAATAAAATAAATACAACAAAAAATGTAGAGCAATTTTAGAATGCCAGAACAGAGTGTTAACTAAACTGGAACAAGCATTAACAGATGTAGTTGGCGCTGATTTGCATTTTCAAAAAGTGGTACAAGATGAGTTTTGAAAAGCCTGGCAACAAATGGAAATGGAAATTTTGGGTGGAACTGTTGGCGCATTTTGTTCGTAGAAAGTTAACCACAGTGCATTTAAATGGTCATTTGCCACCACAAAACGGAAATTATGCGCAAACAAGATTATTTTGGCAGTGCCTTGCTGGATACGTGTGCGCGTTATCACCAAGTGGGTAGAGAACGCTGATTGCTCTTTAGCTAGCATTACAAGTAACTAGCTGGAGGCGAAAACACTGTTGCTGTGCTTTGGAAATTAACATGAACACAACAGCTTCATGGCATTTTTTCTCATCATCTTTAGAATGCTAGTAGGAAAGTGAAATGAAGTACAGTGAAAAAAGGAAGAAAAATATAACATTTACTTCCAACCATTCTGTGGAGAGAGATTCTAACCCTGACCTAAATAAACACTTTAATATCTATACTGAAGGATCACCTCAGAAAGACCAGATTTCTTCATTCCCAAGGACCAACTAAAAAAAAGAAAAATTAACCTTGCCTAAAAATACACTTTATGCTAAATACTAGTTGACATTTCCATGCCAAATCTATCAGCAAATATTTTCTTTATGTATTTGCAAGTATTTAGCGCATCCGATAATGCAAAACTGACTTGTGACGTTTTTGTTAAAATGTTATTACCTTCTCAAAAACATACCTGGAGTAGTGTTTGGTTTCATTCACACATGAAAAAATGCTCTGTTTCACCATTTGATAGTTTAAGGATGTAGCATTTGGTGTATTTCTTTCCCCAGATTTTTGCGTTGACAACATGCTTAAAATTCATATTATGTATTATGTATTTTCCAATCTAAAATATGCAGACACTCTACTTACATAAGGAATTCCGAAAAGGCTAAACTCCAGCATGCCGGGGATAGCCCATTTGATGTCATTCCAGTTGGCACCGTTGTCTCCGAGCCAGTGACCCGAGTACTTGCCCACACCTGGGAAGGAGGAGCGGGTCAGCATGAGGGTCCGGTTCTCTCCGAACACACGCTGGAGCGCTCTGGGGAGAGACAAGCAGAGGAAATATGAGCTCTGTGTCAGACGCAGCGCAGTGGAAAGTCAAGAGGGATGTAGTGCTTTGTAAAAGGTCATGACTTATTCAGAAATACACACACAAACACATTACAAGAATTTAAGATAAAGTACTAGCACAACAAAATATTGAAAACGGTGTTGGAAGCCAAAGTCCATCACCATGTAAAGGTTGTTCTACCAATCAGCACGTAATGAGAATTATAATAAAACAATGCATTAAATTTATATAGGACTTTTCAAGAGACCCACAGCACTTTACGCACCAGTCCGATTCTGGTATTGGATATGGGCACTGATATTAAAAATTTTGCTGGATCGTATATTGGCTTCCAAATATTGGTTCAGCCAATATCCTGGTTGGACATATATATTGATGTAATAAGTATTGATTTTTTATTAATAGAAAGTAGTTCTGTAGTTACTTGAGAGATAAATAACATACATAATACATATGCATCAAGTCTGTCTTATTTTATTTTTGTTTTATGGAAATAAAAGCTATCCGGTAAAGGTATCTGTTAGTATCGGGTATAGGCAGAAATTTAAAGCTGTAGTATCAGAATCCATTACGGAAATGAATAAGCTAGATCTGTACATCCCTATTACTATTCTAGCCACACTTGCCATGGGTTAAACTGATGGAAGAGAGGCTGCAATTTGCACCACTGGTTCCTCTGACCACCACCAACACTTGCATATATATGCATACAACACATTCATATAAAGCAGGGGTCTCCAACCTTTTTTCTCCAGTGAGCTACCTTTACAAAATGAAAATGCCAGCGAGCTAGCAATTTCAGACATTGCAAAGAAACAGTAAATATAAGAGCCACGGCGAGCCTTACATGGGGAACAGTTAGATGCTTATAAAACATAAACCATTATCCATTTATTGGTGCATCAAGTGAGGCATCAAAATCATACATTTACAATAGTAATTTATCAAATCTTACTTATTATCCACAATACACAGAATTCAGAAATGGTGAGCTAATTGGAAGGAGGTGGAGAGCTTCTGATAACTCCAGAGCTACAGGTTGGAGAACCTTGATAAGGCAACGTGGCTAAAGTGCCTTCACCAAAACCTACAACTAGCCTACAGCCACTGCTGCCTCACTGTAGAACCTGGTATTCCCAGTGGTCTCCAATCTAAGTATTAACCGGCCCGCCCATACTTATCTTCCAAGATCTGACAAGAAGACTTTTAAATTAATGCATTTTGAGAACTAATACAATGAATCTGAGTTATACTAAATATTGTATGTTTTAAGCACAAAGTAATTCGTGTTTAACTTTTCTAACAGACAATAACATTTCTCACACTATTGGAATTTAACATGTATTTTGATAGACTGTGTCACTGTCATAAAGTATTTGCTATTTCTAAAGTTTTGCACACCATTAACAAAGGCCACACATATGCCGGAGAATAAATGCATTGTTGAGAAAACCTCTAAAGAGAGAAAGTCAAAGTCGGCGCTACTTTCCCAACTCTATTGTACATTATTATTTCGCTTAATGAGGAGAATCGAAGAAGCATTGATTTCCATGACAATACAAAGGCCGGGTGATGTTCACAAAATGTGTCTCCTGCCAATAATACATTTTAATTAGTCAACGTGAGAGAAGCAGCTGGCCTTATTGAAGTAGTGAGTCAGCAGCGTCGACCTCAAAGGGGTTTTTCACAGAATATACAATGTGTGTGACCTTACAACGGGTCAGAGCTGCGGTCCAGTCCACACAGCTCTGTATAAGAAAAAATGATTTTCTCACTAAAATATCTTCTGTCTTTACAAGGGTATTAACTTCATGTCATTTTTCACAGACAGGCCATGCATCTTATTCACTACTCAGCGGTCAATCCATGCATCTGCGCTGAGTGACCTACAGAAAGCTTCCAATCGAAATGTCAATGAGACCTTCAACCTTTAACCTTTTGTTGGTAACCTTTAAAACAATGGATATGAGAGAGAATATATTAATATGTGACTTATGTTCATAATTTTTACTGTCATTTGTGTGCGATTTCTATATCTATGGCTATACAACACATCTTATCAGTAACATTGAGTTACTGATATTATTATTAAGTATGACTGTTGCTACTTGAAAAATGAATTTCCTTTGAGATAAATAAAGTATTATCTATATATCTGTGTTGGACTATAGTCCTTTAGTTGATTATGTGGTCAATGCCATCTCAGCTTATCAGTTTTTTCTTGGTCGACTAATAGTTTTATAAAGATTATGAGAGTTAAACTGGACCACAACATAAAGGAGAAGGTATAGGGTGAGTTAGCTGGAGTTTTGGGAGTGATTGGACAGTAAGGGTACTGAAGTAAGTCTTCTCTCAAATGCTAATGCTCCTGGAGTTACAATGTGCACTCTGAAATGACTCCTACATTTTAAACATCGCAAATAAAATTGTTCCCTAAAAGTTGCAGCCCTTCTAGACAGTTTAATCTGCCTTTTCACTTATTAAGATGATGTTTACTAGAATGTATGCATAATTGTTATTTCTCAAGATTCATATATACCAAAAACCAAGAATTTCTTTACTTGATTATTGGTCCTAGCATTACTGTTGATGATAGAGGGTACACGACTTGGATTTTATTGCTTTTTTTTTTTTAGCAAAAGCCGTACATTTCCATGGAAACAAACAGGAAATGGACCTCAAAATTTTGGAATTTTACTTCAAGCACTTTATTCAATGGATTCAATATGCTTTTAATTCAATATTAGCCAGTTAGATATACAGATACTTCATTGAGCCCAAAGGAAATTCAAGTTTAGCTGCAGCAACACTACATGGTGCTTTTCAGTTGCCTTTGTATTTCAGTCAAAGGTCTCAGTTGGGCTGGTTGGCAGATCCTGCGTCAGGGCAATGTGGGAGAGTAACAGCCCTCAGGACAAAAGTGCCCTTCTTCTGTGTCCTGCAACCCAAGCAGGAGCGTCCAGGGAAAGCCAGGTGAGCTTAAAACTGTACTTGCTCCACTTCTTAATTGATAAAAATGCCATGACAGGATGTTAGAAACTGAGATTTTAAAAAAAGAAATAAAAAAAAAAGAAAAGAAAAGTGCTCAGTGCTGCAGTCAGGTACCCATAGCGTTGCTTCTTTTCTTTTCATTTATGTTGTACTTAATTGTTTTGGTGCAGCCTTTAATTTAACATCCACTGGGACTACCTTTTTCTGTAGTATATTAAAATGAATTATATCTGATGCATTTTATTGGTTTCTCCCGTGTCATCTTCACTTAGTAGCACATAAGGTTATGAACTCTATGGATCATGGGAAACAATTGTCTAGTGGGAAGGTTGTGCTATATTGTCTGTATTGCATTAGCAGTGTTTGTTTTATATTTCCCATTAGCTCAAACCCCATTAGTGCAGGTGCATGCCGATAACTAATTGATTTAATTTCCCATACCATCACTATTGGAGCATATTAGAAAGCCTGGAAAGTCAGAGCTGTTTTTGCTTTGTGTAAATTGCTATACCATTGAGACCGGAGTCATTTGAATGCTCGTGTAATGCATCAGGGTTGTTCATCTACTAAGAGACTTTCTTTTTAACTTTGCCATGGATATTATAGAAAGCAGGTTTATGTATGAAACTGTGCAGCTACAGTGGAAGTCTAGTTGAATCCCTACAGTGATACACATCCATGCTTTGGCTACAAATCTAAGCATTGCCACAAAGGTTACGCAAACATCAAGTACAAAAATGCAAGTAATGTAGTATACTGTACTAGTAGTATACTAGTAATTAAAGGTGTAACAATGTCCAAGTCTCATACAATATCATCACGGTTTGAACCTTGCGGTACGACATTTATTGCGATATCAAGGGAAAGCTCACGATATGGTGGTGGAGGCTCACGATTAGGGATGTAACAATATCCAAATCTCTCGATATTTTCACAGTACACATCTCAAAGTACAATATTTATAGCGATATTTTGTGGAGGTTAACAAAACTATTAATATGCTACTTTTTCCTCTTAAAATGCCTTGACAAGACTTAATCCAAAGAACTAAGACTTAAAAGTGCTTAGAACTGTTATTTCTTCTTGTAGTTTACACTGAAACGGCACAAAAGATCATGCTCTATGTAGTTCCCTCTGTCTTTTTTAGCTACTGCTGAACTCTTAACTTAAGCAAAGAGTCTTGTAATTCGATATATTGCGAGAACTCTGAAGATATGATATCAAGATATTTCGGTTAGTTACATCCCTACTAGTAATATATGTTTAACTTTAATTACCAAGTTTCAAACATTGGTTTATACTTAATAAATTGGCTCAAAATATTATTTATGTTGTGTATCAAGACTGTGACTTTCTATGACTATATACAATACATTAAGACTGCAGGTAGAGATGGGTAGAGTAGCCAAAAATTTTACTCAAGAGTAAAAGGAAGAGTTACTTAAAAATAATATTACTCAAGTAGAAGTACAAAGTAGCCAAGTAGTCCAAGAAATTACTCAACATGTAATTTAAATCTGGTATTTTGAAAGGATAAACACAAAAATAAGAAAGACAACATCATATATGCCAAAAAAAAACCAAAAAAACACTTTTCTTATGTAAACAATAGAGTAAGTTTCAAATTGATATGTATAACTTAAGTTTTATTTTTCAAATTCACCTGCAGTTTTTCTCCTCAAGCGTAGGTGTGAGTAGAGAAAGAGAAAAAGGTATAGATGTATTAAAAGGAACCTATTTGTAAATGTATTCTATCTAACCTGTAGTCCCATTATCACTTCTCCTCTTACTCTCTTTAACTATTAGAACAGAGAACATGACTTTATGAGCTGGTGGGAAGTGATTTCGTCTATAAACTGCCTTTGAAGCATATGTGAATGAGGAAATATCCATATATTTCTTTAAACGGACCACAGCTATCCCAACTTCTCTGCAGCTAGTGATGGATACGCATAAATTTACATAACTGTGACCCGGTTTTACCATATATCAACTGTTCTATTCTATACTTAGGTTGATTTCTGTTTAAGTAATGGGCCCTTAAACTGTTTTAGCGTCCGGCCCAGATGAGAAATTCATTCAGTGTGCCCGCCAGCTATGCTCATTAAAACATATTCCTGCACTTATCACATGGTATAAGCCACAGTATTGGTCGACGGTGGTCACTGTATAATTAAAAAAAGGTTATAAGTCCAGGAAGTATTGGAACAGAGTGGATTTTTGCAGTTCATATCTGCAAGTCAGCTCTGCAAATCTATTCAATGGTCATTACTCAAAAGTACACTGTCCGGCACTGATTCTGTGTGTTGGGTTATTTTTTTTTACATTGTGTTTGGAGGCTGCCAATGAAGCCGGTAAGCTCTCAGGCAGTGGCGGTAAGCTGGCCACGGGGGTGCAAGAAGAGAAAAGGTGGATTTGGCTAAAGAATGGTTTTGGGAAATGTTCAAATGTAGATTGCTGACAGTTTGTATAATATAGTACATCTCAACTGAACTAAAAGGTTTTGCTAACATACAACATAAAACTATCATTACTTAAAAGGTGCACTAAGGAACTTTTCTTGCTTTGGCTGGAATGTTTCACAATAAAGCATTAAACCAAGCCAGTTTACAGATATATATCATAGATTGTAGATAGATAACGTTTATTGCCACAAACACTGAAAAACATTCCAGGCAAAGCAATGCGGACCCATGAGACAAGTTTTAACAGTACCATATTTTTCGGCCTACAAGTCGCTCTGGAGTATAAGTCGCACTAGCCAAAACTGTGTAAATATACTTAATAAAACTATAGCATCAACAACATATCAAGTTTTCAAACTGTCCATCTCACTCCAAGTCACTCGGTGTCACTTCTGAGCAACTCCGCGACTTCTAGAGGTAAATGGAGAGCCGTTTCCTCTTCTGTGTAGGTGCCGTCAGACTCAGCATCAGTTCCAGTTAAAATATTATTATTATTCAGGCTTTTTCTGAATCCCAAGTGGTACAGAAGTAATGGTGTGATCAACTGACATGATACAAGACAGCACAGTGGCTCTTTCTCTTTCTTCTGCAGCCGACATGCGCAATAGAGCGAAGTGACAGGGGTACAGGAGTAACAGAAGTAGCAAATACTGGCCCACAAGCTTAGAGCGCCCTGTCACGGCTGTCAGTGTGAACATTTTAACATATAAGACGCACCGAAGTAGTTGCAGGACCATCCAAACCATGAAAAAAAGTGCGACTTACAGTCTGAATATGGTATGTGTGCAAGTGTATGAGGTCTCCAGTGGCTACTGCACTTTCAAGTACTACAGACAATAAAATGTACTACGTGACATCACTCAGGACTGCCATGTTTGAAACCAGGTGACTGTAAACACCTGGCTGCAGACTGAAGACACTGTTCCTCATACGTCCAGACTCCACTGCTTCTCCCCCCTCACTCTCTCCTTTAGTCTTCCATGTTATTTCCCATTTCAGAGGCTCTATTTTCAATGTGGTTGTGGGTGGAATTTAGGTGTTTAGTCCCATTCTAAAGTTATATGATGTTAGACAAACAACTACTACTCACTTCTCTGTGGCCAGCACCATGGAGTACCCGTAGAGGCTGTGAACATCATAGTGATTCCCCCAGGCCTGCTTGGCATCCATACACAAGGTCTTACTGAACATCACCTCGTCCAGGATTCCTATGGAAACAAATACACACACGTGATGAAGACAACAGGGTGGTGTGAGGTGACAGAGGCGAGTGGGGTGAATTCAAATGCTCCGCGCAGAAGACAGCTGAGTGATGAGAGAGAAAGGGAGAGAGAACAGGGAGAACGGGAGGGAGGTGATGAATTCCGCAATCGGACAAGTGTTCAATGAGAAAACAGGAGGCAGAGAGAGCGATGGAGGGACGACGGGAGTGAGGGAAGAAGAGGAGGGAAATAAAAATAGTGGCCAGTCCGGTTACGTTTAGGGTCATCCAGGTTGTGACAGAAGAGGTGTCTGGGGTATTGCACCCGAGGGGGTTTTAGATGAGTTTCAGCTCAGAACTACTTTATGAAGTAGTGGGTTGGGTGCATTATCGTTTGGGTTCGTGGTTCTTATTACTTGGATTGCTTGAATTTTAATGTAGTATATGAGTATGAAAATACTGCTTAGATGTCAGGTCAGGACAACAGCTCTGACTTGATGAATTTAAGATAAGTTTCTTCTCATTTACCTGTAATAAACACAACAAAACAAAAAAAATATATATATATATAAAAAATAAATAAAAATGCCTAAAGGCTTGTAAAAAAAACAATACCAATACTATTCTGAATTGTGGGTTATATTTGAGTGTTTAACCAAACCAGCAGGTTTTGATTAAAAATAGATGTTCCCGCTGCATTTCTTGTGGCTTATTAGAAAGAAACCTGAGGGCAAGTTTGCAATTAGATAACAAAACTAAACGTGAATAAATTTACTCCAAACTATATCTTGAGGGCTGAATAAATGGGTATCCTTGAATATATGAGAAATAAACAATATGTTTTGGCACAAGATGTACTGTTTGTCTGTTAAAAAAGAGCAATAAGGATGACTTCATATGTCCAGGTGTGATACAATTTTAGTCTTTCATCTAAGTTCACTTTAAAATATTACACTATTTTCCTTGTCACAAACATAGTTGGAGGTGTGTTTTGTTTCATTCACACATGTTTAACACACAGACCCTGCATATTTAGGCTGAGTTCTTCTCTCGAACAGAAAACACTGTAATATTATGTGGTAATATGGTAAATGTATAGTTTGTTGCAACAAAACTTGAATGGTGTTATGATTTGAACGGTGGCACATGCAGACTTAGAGGCCTCTCGCTCTCCCAATCGTTGTCTCCGCATGGGATGGAAAGATACATAATTTCAAGTCCTTTGTATGTCTAGAAACTGACAATGATGCTAACTTTTTGAACTTTAATACAGGAGGTACTCCACCGTGTTTTCAAACTTAACACACCTTCACTAGAATCATTTGGATCATTTCAGACCTGGAATTGCCAATCTCTACTGAACAAAAGGTAAAAGGTAGCTGTTAACGTGAAAACTATCATCATGTATATGACATCACAAGGTGGAATGGAGCATTTAGAGCTTTGGAGATGTAGACAGACTAATAATAAAGGGTTACTCAAATGTGTGAACGAAACAGAACTCAACTCTGGGTATGTTTTTGATGAGGAAATAGCATTTAAAAATGGCTTAAAGCTTAACGCTTTTGTGGGATATAGGACATTTAATGTCATGGCATGGAACATTCCAGGCAAAAATGGTTTCCAATTAAATGTTATGTTTTTTTGTTTTTTTTTTACAGGTGGTAGACTATCCGTCAGAAAAAAAAAATAGTTAAATTGTGCACCTTTAAACAGGTCATGCTAATCAAGAAGGAGTAGTTAGTACAACTTCTACCTACTCCATACAAAAATAACAAGTTTGGACATTTTAAAAAGGTAACTAACATTCTGTTCTAACATCGCTTAAAGAGTCCAACAGTGAATCAAATAATGCAAAACATCCTACCTACAGTATTTGTAAGAGTGGCAGCACAATACACAAAACAAGAGCAACAATGTAAAAAAATGCTAAACTCCAAATCTTACTTGGCGTGTATGGAGGGTAGTTGAGGTTGTTGTCCTCACAGCCTTTGCTTGATCCTTTCACGAAACTTGCAACTTCATTCATGTCCTGCAAATGCAAAAAAATACATTTAAAAGTACAATTGGTGGCATAACATATTATTTACACTTGAAAATGACAAAAATATTGGAACCTGTAATGTGTGCTTTACAAACTAACTATATTAATTGCAGAAAACGGGCACCAGCAAATCTGCTATAATCACAATTTTATTATCACAACATATTCTCACCTAACTAAATATGTTTTGGCAATTTTATTTTCCAGTACAGGAGTAACTAAATCAACAAACCACACAAAAAGCAGTTTGGCAAATTACCTTTTTACAAAACCGATTGTACCAGCAGTTTTCTTGCTGCTAATGTAATTCAATCTTTCCCACAATTATTCTTACTTTCATGTACTAAACATGGAAGACCTGACTCTTTTAACCGAGGTGATTGTCAAGCTGGAAAATCGTGTTTAGCACCGCAAAAGCCCTGGATAATGAGCCATTCAAACTCCCCAAAGTAGTATTAAAATAACACAAATTTCTGCTTGTTTTTCGCGTCGCTTATTGACCTTAATATTCATGCTACATTGAAGAGAGGGGGAAAAAAGCAACCACTCACGTTCGGAGTGACTTTGTAAAACAGCTAGTGGTTTTAAATGGCAGCACTATGAGTTAATGAGTGTTTGTTGAGACTTATGAACTGCTTACAATCCAGAGGGCATCGTGCTTGATCTCGCGGTAAAGCCTCTCGTACTCATCCACCCACCAGTCGATGCAGGCTTGGCTGGTGTAGTCAGGGAAAACTGTCTCTCCTGGCCACACCTGAGCAAAAGATAAAGAGCGAAATGTGTTTACAACCATAGATGCGATAGACTTTGGACAAAACAACTCTTAACAACATTATGGCTTTACAGTTATCTGATCCGCCCACTGCTGGAAATGGATTGAGTTTGGGCTGGGAGAAATGATACAGCAAAAAGACGCGGGTGTTCGTATTGATTGTGACCCGGTTTCACCCAATAGTTTTTGATAGTTTTTTTTGTTATCTAACCCCCGATCATTCACTGCTTTTGCTACAGACCTGTTGTGGTGTTTTTCTCTCTATTATATCGATATAGATAATCAGTTTGGGTTGCACAAAAGAACTGACACGGAATAGCCAATGGCACGGATTGGACCAGTGGGTGTCACAGACAGTACAAAACAGTATAATATGAAATAGAAAGTCCACAATAACTACTGTAAAAGCAACTACAGTGACATTAAAGGTGCTGAATCAGTAAAAATGTGAGAAGCACAACTAGTTAATTTAAAACTCCAAATGTCTTGCTTATTTACCTTATTAATATGCAAGTGCTTGTCTTGCTTATTTACTTTATTAATATGCAAGTGCTTTTCACAACATTCAGAAGCCAGAGTGGTGTTTACCATAATGATAATGGTGACAATAACTAGCATGCTAAGAGCATAAATCCTGTTTTTAGAGAATAAAATGCTTTATAATGAAATGCTGATAGCCTATATTAGTCTTCTTTTCCCTTCCCTAAGAGCTGCTTTTACCTATATGTACTGGGGCAAAATAAATTTTAGCCTAAATTACATGAGAAAATTGAAATCTATTTCACGTCCTTTAAACTGATGTCAGTGGCATAATGGACATGTAGTACTTTTACATCCTGGAAGGCAGAAGCCTGACACAAATGTCAGGGTCACATTGGTATTATGGATTACATGATACATCAGTATTTCAAGGGCAATATAAAAGTTACAATACATGAATTCAAACTACAACTTATATGGCCTAAGTTACTACTATTTAGGTATTCTGCCTGGTGTCACTTATATCATTATAGCAATTCTTCTTTTGTATCATGATATTTAGCTTAGAATTAGGCCAGATCTTCCTGCCTTAATATGCCTTCATTGTTTGCAGAGCTATGTGGATTATTAAACACCATTAGCACCACTTAATGTCCCTGCAGTGTCTGAGGCCTTATGTTAACTATAACAGCACCAAAGTGTCCCTACACCACCCATGCTCAGCTATACAAATGCACATAGTGTGCACAGTATCCACAATACATGATAGAAACAGACAGGTCTATGTGAGTGACAGAGAGACTGTGTTTAGGAAATCACACAGACAAAATGAAGAGTGTGAGGTGTATTGATGAGGGGAGTTGGAGAAGAGGGGGATGAAGAGGAGGTAGGAGAGAGAGAGAACAGCTGAGGCAGAGAACAGAGGAGAGGCTGATCAATAACACAATAGCAATCTGCCGACATGCTGCATGTTAGGAGTCGTCCTTAATGGCACATACAAAAAAAAAAAAAAGATTAATCCTGGCAGAAAAGACTTGAGTTCTTGTGTTTACGTGCGCGCTGGGTTTGCTAGCTGTGCATGAAAACGCTAGATATTAAAATCCAAGGTTGCTGTCTTTTACCTGTACTTCCACTGCCAATAACTTTACAAGTTGGAGAAGACACGAATCAGGTACGTGGGTGCAAATTGGTTTTACCGGCAGATGTTTTTGGCAGCTGGTCAGAAATGTAAGGTCAGGATTTATTGGTTGTCCTGTGCTGTTGTGGACTACCTTGCCTATGTATGCTTATTTGTCATGAAATTATTATTATTATTATTATTATTTTCCTAGGGCCACATATCCACAACTATTTGTAAATGGTTCATTGTGCAACTGCTCAACCCATCGTGCTAGTTCCTTCATGAATACTCACATTTTTGTAGATTTTAGGTTTACTTGTGAGTGAGTCATGTATGTATTTATTTTTACAGGTTCTATATTACACCAAATCAACACGTTAGAATGTTGTTACTACCTCAAAAACATATGATCCTTAATTATTATTATGAAAAATCATTCCAGTTATGTTGTATGGAGTTTAAAAACACAGTGGGGCACTTTCTGCACCACCACATGACATCAAAACACAATGCCAAGAATATTTGTGATGAGAAAACATCATTATAAGTTAGATAGAAAAATTAGCGGGCCCTTTATATTATATTTCACAGTGTTTAATAAAATGACATAATTATGTATTTATTGCTGTGCTAGTACATGTGGTTGTTTTGCAGATGGGTGGCATGAGACACCATCAACAAATGCTGAAATTGCTCTTTTAAAATCAGTAATTAAATTTGCAATCTCGCTATATCACACTTAAAATTTCATTTTTTTAAAATATTGTTTTCACTATCCTCAACTAAATCCACCATTATGTTCCTATAGAGTATTATAATGCCATTTGAACCCACCATTTGATGCATTTAGATTTCAACCCATTTTTATTTCATCTGCTATATATATACAACAGCTTTCCTTATGCCTGCTGTTTTTCATTGTGCTCATATCCCACCTCCTGTCTGCTTTCTGATCTTTCATAGCCTGTCTCCCAGCCCTATCTGTACGCCTCTCTCCACTTTCATTTGCCACTGAAAATCTCTGCGTCTTAAGCGTTTACCTGATAAAATGTCTCCTCAGCCTTTGGTTGTGTCAGCTGGGTTGACTTCCTGCCGGAGCGGTACCACTCAATAAGGCAGTCTTCCTGTGCATTTGTATCTAATGTATTATTTTTGCTTGTTTGTCAACTGTAGTCCCCCCAGCCGTGCTCTTGTCTCTGTCAATCCTACCTGCAGGTCCTCATAGATTTTTCAGTCCCAGTGTTTTGTTTACAAACATCGACTGCCACCGGATGCGTGAAGTGTGGTGCTTTTTTGTGTGTAAATAACAAAGTATTGAATAGTAAAGTTTTATTTGACAGAACTGTATACTTAAGTGTTTCTTATTAGTGGAGAGGACCATGGTGACCCCCCGTGATAGTAAAAGTAATAATTTTCAGCACTAAAAGTCTAAAACATGAACAATTGATACAAATGATACCTTTTCATTCTTCCATCATAAACATTTAAAAGTAAATATAGTGTGTTCAAATAGATTGGTTTCAAGATAAATTAGAGGCGTGTTGCGACAAGTTTCACCAAAATGTGGTGCTAAATAAAATTCTAATAAGGCTTAAGTGTACCACAAATTCTCGCAGCAGAAGAATAAGAAATAAAATTAAATATTATACTGAACAATTAGTGCTAATACTAAAATCTCTGTTATAATACTAAAATCTTCTCTCTGTTATTAAAATGCTAAAATCTCTCTGTCATTAAAATACTAAAATCTCTGTTATTATGCTTCTTGTAAGTTTAAAAAGCCCATGTTATGTATTTTCTGGTCTATGTTATAATGTTGTTTCCTCACCAAAAACAAACCTGCAGTTGTGTTTTGTTTCTTTCACACATGTTTAACACATTATCAAAATGATTAAAAAAAAAAAAAAAAAAAAAAAAAAAGGTAATATCATAAACCACCGCTTCATGACATAACAAGGTGGAACAGAGCATTTTGAGCTATCGGGATAAAGACAATCTAATGCAAACATGTGAATTAAATAAAACACAACTCCAGGTATGTTTTTGATAAGGTAACAATATTTTAACATGAAACAATTTTGCGTAATAGAGGACCTTCAAGAATTGACTTCAGTAAAAGCTGGCTATCACCTCAAGCTTTAATATTCAAAGTTGACCATGGGGACTGACTCTTTGTAGACTGTTCTGTGTTACCCCACTTCAACTATATTACATGGAAAAACTGGCATTTCAATCTACAGGTGGTTCAACCATCACATCCTCACTATATCAATATTAGTTATGTCCTGTCCATCATTTCAGTTGGACTACATTGAAAATGTCAAGGAGACATTTCACAAACGCAAATTGACTTCAGCTCCTGTGGACGAATCCACATGTTTAACAGGGCTACAGATATATTGTAAAATCAGCTCTTAAAATGATACCACTGCTGTCTATATTTAATTACGTGTTTTTAGCTCTGTTAGCATGCTAGTCGTTAACAAAACTCAAGTGAAACGGGCTCATAAACTCATCGTCATTAGCGTGCAAGAACTGCATTAGGAACATGACTTTAGACCACTGCAGAGTTTAAAACTGAACTAGTTATTTTTTCAGATTTTTAATATTGTGAGACAGCGCCTTAAACCTGAAAATGATGTTTTTATATAATTTTGAGCTGGCATTCTGCTCCATATAAAAGCCTTGAAATGCATAGCACCAACACCTATTTGAGAAGCGGGTTGAAGGTTAGTCTAAACATCCCGAGCAGCAGGAGAAGCTTTTATCCTTATCTACAGAAGCAATTAGCCATCTTAAAAGCAAGAAGAAAATACCGGTGTCGCCCAGGTTCCTCCTTCATCACTGACACTGCTCTACAAAGGTCCCGTTTACAAAGACCCCGCTGTCTCCACTAGCAGCACACACACATTCATATGGAAATAAAGTGGAATCAATTATAATCACACACATGCGTGAACAGACACAGTATAGCGTAAACAGCCAAGAATAGCTTCTCGTTTCAAAATGGATGCACACGCGACTTGCCTATTTCGTATTAAATATCTGAGGCCGGCCACGCAGAACATTTCTTAAGATTAAACACTAATGCGGAATCAATGCATATGTTTGACCTGTTAGAATCAGCGTGAAAAGGAGATTAACACGTGGCTTGGGTTTAATCATGTGCGTAATCAGAACTGTAAAAAAAAACAGAGGAGGGGACGGCTTTTGCACCTCGCGTCAACCCCAGCTGTTGGGAAGAGACCTAAGAAATATGGGAGCTGGAAAAGATCAAAATAGCATGTATGGAATTTGAGGTTTCTATTAAGAGCTGTAGAAAGCAAATATATAGACGGTAATGGAATGGGAAATGTAATGCGTGAGAATGTGGAATTTGATGGTGGCATACTTTGCAAACAAACAAAAACACAACATAATATTTACAGTCCATGAACTGTTGGACTCAGTGGTATGGAAGAACTCAAAACCTTGTTGTGAGGCTTAAAGGGAAAGTCCAGAATTTTGGACATAGGACCTCATTTCCTAGTGAGCCAGAGTCTTGGAGACGTGTGGAGACACTTTTTAAAATATTCCACCCAGTCCTTGTGTGAGAGATGCGATTAATAAATTTACAGTTATACATGATTGTTGTCAATTAATGTAAACATGATTGTTTTGAGGTTCACTGTCCCCTATTGTTTTTATGGTGTCACTGTTCTACATTCTGAAAATTGCTATTTTTAGGTGCATCTGAACACCCCGCACTGGTTTTGTACATGTGCCTTGAACTAGACTGGAGTGTGTTTTTACCGCAAGGCACAGGATGAGAGCGGAGAGCTGTTATAGCCAGTTTTAACTTTTTTTGTGGCTTCATAATAAATATCCCTTGTGGAAAAGACAACCTCAATCGATTTCTATGCCTAAAGATCTGGAATACTTGTATTTGCAGAGGTCGCTGGTGCTAGGTTAGTGCATGTCAATGGCCATAGCTAGCCTACCACTAAAAACAGTCTTACCCACTCCACAAATCATGTATCAGCGGTGGACTGATGTCACCTAGCACCTATCTTACCAGCAAAGTAAAATTCCCCTGCTGCTGAGAAAATAGTCCCTAAACATGCAAAATTCATGCGATGCAAGGTTAGTTTTATTTCAAACATTATTCTATCAACACAGACATTTACATCGACATTGTGGCGTAATAATAGATTTGCTTTGGGTGTTTTGTTGAGTGGGTAAGACTGTTTTTAGTGGCAGGCTAACAACCAGTGACCTCTGCAAATACAAGGACTCAGTGGAAGTATCTCCACACATCTCCAACACTCTGGCTAACTAGGAAATTAGGTCCTATGTCCAAAATTCCTTACTGTCCCTTTAAACTCAAATTACTATGCCATTGCACTATTATTACCATGGTACATCCACTATGGACTCTAAGCAGGTGATATTATAAGGAAAATGCTCCATCCTCTTAAAGGTGTATAATATAACTTAATTTGCCGGGTCTACCACTTACTTGCTTTGCTTGAAATGTTCCACAGAATGGCATTAAACTAGGTACATTGCATTTCATTTGCAGTTTTTTATTGCTAAGATAACTTGAAAAACATTCTGCTTTCTTAACCAGGCATGCCTCTCCACAGATGAGACCTATAACTTGGCCTGGTGACACCACTTTCTTGCATCTATGTAGACTGATGCGTTTAATGCCATACTGCTCAACATTTCAAGTAAAGCATTAACAGCAGGTAAAGAACCAAACACCTGAAAAGTTAGTATAATATTTTTAGTAGAAGTACCTTAAATTATACTTTACTTTAATTACACTGCTTTAGATAGGGACATGGAAATAGACAATACTCACAATAATATGAGTGAATATTGTTGAATTATTAGAACTGAACAGACATATTTCTTGAACCATACTGTTTAAAAATAGTGCTACATATATTTCTATAATTATGTAATAAGAATAACTTTGTCAGGCTGGCAGTGACATTGGTACAGAGTTGGACTACAAAACCTCTTGGCATCATATCTGTTAAAATTAACTGTACATATATTTTGCCAATTCTTATGTGTGAAGTAAACTAACAAATGCACCTTACCTCTCCCAAAAGAGGAGTTTTCCCATCGGCGGTAAAGACCCAGGCATTAGCTGCTGTTCCACGGTCAAACGCTTCATAGGATGCGTTTCCAACCCTCTTACTGGTGGCTACGGCAGGGTCCTTAAACGAAAAGATTACATTCGCAGAGATGAACAGATGGCAATGCAAAACAAATAAATACAGCTTTGAATGCAGAATAAGTACGAGCAAGTGAGTCAGCAAAGGTGGAGCGCTGGGAGTTGTCAGGATTGACAGGATTAGGAATGGATACATCAGATGCATCAGAGGGAATGTTTTTTAAAGGTCCTATATTACTTAAAATGGAGCCTTGAAGTCTTGTGAGCTTGAACCTTGTTATAATGCTGTCAGTCAAAATCATACCTGGAGCTGTGTTTAGTTTCATTCACACATGTTTGAGTAACTCTTTATTATTAGTCTGTCTACATCTCCAAAGCTCAAAATGCTCTGTTCCACCTTGCGATGTCATGAAGTGGTAGTTTTCAAGTTAACAGTCTTATCCTTTTACCTTTAGTTCAATAGAGATAATACCAGGACTAACATCAAAAAATTCAAACGATTCTACTGAAGGTGTATAAAAGTTGAAAACACAGTGGAGCACCACATGACATCACAAGGTGGAACAGAGTGTTTTCAGTTTGAGAGAAGAACTCAGCCTAAATATACAGAGTTTGTGTGAATGAAACAAAACACAACTCTATGTTTTTAGTGAGGAGACAACATTATAACAGAGATCAAAAAATAGAGTAATATGGGTCATTTAAATGTCTTGAGAAAATACTTTTTGACAAATAAGATTTAACTAATAAATGATTAATAATGATATAATGTTCTTTAGCTTCAGTATGTGACAATTTGCTTTGTCTGAGCTAAAAAGTGAGCTGGAATGTCTTGTTCCAGAAGTAAAATACCCATTCATACATATTTTCAGAAAGACCTTTTGAAAAATTGGCAGAGGACATGACTACATTTAAATTTGAAGTATCTTAAAAATACAGTATGTACATTTCTGGAGATAGCATGGCAACTGCATGATTTCACTTGAAGTAGCAAGTTAAAACCATACTTCAGAACATTCTCCATGGAAGTGGGTATGTTTTATGCCATACTGTGGAAGATTATAGCTAAAGGAACAATTTCCATGGAAATAAGTAGGAGTAGGCCCTCCTTCAGGCAAAGTAAGAGTCAGGTTTGTGGAGATGCAAACCCAGTCAGAGTAAGGGCACATGAATGAAAAAATAGTTTCACAAGAAAGAGTCTTGTAAAATCAGACTGCTACACGTTGTTTCTAAAAAAAAAAAAAAAAAATAAAAATTTTTAAAAAAGTTTCTAAGGCAAATTTGTAAGAAAGAGCCATGTGAGTCACTATATGACACACTGGGATGAGAGCTCGCTTAACTTTTCCATCGTGCATGTGAAAACCAGTGATCTGACAAACTGTTTGTGAGAGCTTAGATATATTTAAATTCTTAAATAAACTTCAGCTTCATTAATTCATGGTTTGAAAATCAGGTACCCCAGATTTAATTAAAAAGAAGAAGAATTTGTGGAATTAAAAAAAAAAAAAAACATCCTGCAAAATGGATAACCACCATGAAACTTTTAAACGCCCTATATCAGCCTACTTTTTAAATCTAGCCAGAAGCATCCAGCCACTGTTGAGCTCCACTGGATAAAATAAATACCCCTTTCTAATTAGACGTAAATACAGCTTTAAATGTTATATTGGGTAACTTGGAGACCTACAAAACACATAAATTGTTAACCTAGAGCTGTCTAAAGACTCACCATTTGGCCTGTTTTAATAAAATGTAATTACAGTAAACATTCCTCATAAATGCTAAGTGGGACATCTGTTCAACAAACCACTGTTATTGACACATAAACCTCATAAAGACATGAATTATTGTGCATATGAATGGTTACATGCTCATAAAATATAAGTAGTGACAGGTTTTTGGAGTTGTCTGATTCTTAAAATAACATGCAAACAGGCATAATCAGAGAGAAATCAGATTACTCTAATCAGATTTTGCTGTTCACATGTTATGCAAATGGGCAGAAAGAAATCTGATAACAGGGTTGCACAGTATATGTCAATTGACTGTACACTGCAGTTTGAGTATGTGCAGTTTTATTACAATATGCTGATATTTATATGGAAAAAATCTTGTAGCTGCAGTGTAGATCTCTACAAACATGCTCTGAAATGCATGGGATTCTTGTATTTGTTTATCAGTTCATATTTCTCTCAAATGCTAATGGAGTTATTTGCAATGTTCACTTTGAACAACATTCTATGCTATTTTCTGATCTATGTTGTAAAATTGTTTCCACATCAAAAACATACTTGGAGCTTGTGTTTTCCCACATATTTAATGCACAAATCCTAGGCTGAGTTCTTCTCTCAAAAAGCAAATAAACAAATTAAATTTATTTAAATTTAAAACAAATACATTTTATGTTATTAACCTTTGAAAAACAAATCTACTTGCAATCACAGTACTTTGAAATCACGATTTGATTTTTTTCACTCAAATCCAGCAGCTCTAACTGATATTAATATAATTTACTTACCAGGATGAGAATGTATCTCTGTCCTTTCTCGTGAAGGTAGTCGGCGAACTGGGGCAGCTCAGCAAACTTGACTTTATCGTAGGTAAAGATCTTCTTGTCCTCCATGTAGTCAATGTCAGTGTACTGGATGTCCTGCACAATACGCAGACAGGAGTTATGAATATTAAATTACATAGTTCACTTCACTGCTTTAAATCAGACAGATTGGATGTTATTAGATATTCACAGTCTAATGGGGAATTTGAATTGGCCGGCATGAACCACTTATATGTAAGAAAAATCACATTTGCATCGAGCAGAGCGTTATGAAATTCAAAGCGAGAAGGGTTCATTCTTGCAGTGGAGGATGTGGGAAATTGTATCTTAAAGTACAAAAGCACTTTTAAGATTTTATAATGTGGAATAGATATAAAGACTATGTGTAAAAAATCTTTGTGTGTATGTGTAAAAAACCTGTAAATACAACAAAAAAACAATGGTATGGTTCAATCAGCAAGTTTATATTTAAACCTTTCAGAAATATTTATAAAAAGTTCTTCATGGAGGAGTAACTTACAGTCAACAATGTCTTTACCCTAATCCTGATTTTATTATTTATTAAAAAAATACATAAATTAACAAATGGAAATTGATACATATTACTCATTTAATAACTAACCAACTTATTGAGAATAGTAATATGGAATATTTTTGTTTTATTTTGTTGAAACACAATTTTCAATGTTTAATATCACTGAACTGAAATACAGTATATGATTATTACTAATACTGTTTACTATCATACACAAAACCTCAATTATGAATTCATTTTAATTCATTTGTTCTCAAAACCGAACCATAAATGGTAAAAGTTGACACTTTTATATAGCACTATTCCATCCTTCAATTCGCTCAAAGCTCTTTACATCAAGAAATCAGTCACCTATTCACTCACACAACAATGTACACAGACAGTACGGGCGAAGTGGGTTAAGGGTCTTGCCCAAGGACATAACAACAGTATTCATCTGTGGAATCACCCCTCTGGGTCAGCGGATCACTCTGCCAATGATGTTTTATGACAATCATGCCCAATTTCCTTCTTGGTCACGTATTTATCTTCCTATTTCTGTCAAAAAATTCAGCATTACAAGAGAAAAGTTAAGTTAAAAATGACTGCTTAAACTATATTTTTTCTTATATAGCTAATATGTCTTGTGTGTTTTTTATTTTTTTTCCAGCCTGCTTGTACAGCACATTACCATTGCTAATGCTAATACACACACACTGCCTTAAGCATCTGCGCTGATGAAAAGCTGAAAGTTTTTAATTGCAAGTTTGTCTTGTTGACCTGCCATTGCCAGACTCAACTGGACCCGGGCAGCATTCAAACTACCCCGCTAATAGGCCACTAAACCTTGGGAGGACAGTGGAAATGTTACTACTAGGGTTGTGAAAAGTACTGAAACTTAGATATTAATCGATACTGAAACTAGTATCAAAATTAGATTCTCATTTAAGAAGATACTGATACTAAAAAAGTCTAAATCACAGGACAGAAATTAATCTTTCCTAAGTTTTAGAATGATGTTGAGCTGTATCAGAGCAAAAATAAGACCACACTGACTAGTATATGCTCATGGACCATCACCTGGACAGCTGAGGGAATACACAGATACAATTTAATTAATACGATTGAAAATAAAGATTGTTTTCATTATGATCATGGTGTCAGAGCTGCTATTGAGTATCGCGTTTATTCCTTCATACTGAACTTGATTTTGAAATGTCAGTATCACGACAACACTAGTTACCACACATTTTTCATTTGATTTTTGTCTTTTTCACGCCATGCAGTTGTGTGGCTGCGTTCTGCCAGAGCCTCGTTCATATGGATGGAGCAGATGGTTGTGAGGGCCGTGCCAGATCTTGGCTGTAATGGTAATCAGCTCCAGACGTATTAGGGAGAATGTGATAATGCCCTCTGTGGTCTATCTAATGGTTATCAAATATGTCCCTGAGTACAGCGTGAGAGAGGCAGCTGCATGCTAATGTCTTCTGGTACGAGACACAGATTTGAGATTAGCCGAGTGAAATATTTAGATTGGGCAGAGTTCTAATACTTCAGGAACTAACATGGGGCACGGTGCACACAGTAAACAGGAAGCAAATGCAGTTACAAAATCGTAATGAATGTAATATGCAACAGCAGTTTTTTTTCAAATCAGATAACTTCTTGAAGCGTTCCTAACAAGCAAATTCTTCCTCTAAGTACTGAGTTTTTTAGTTATATATATATTTATATAAGTAATAACATTCAATCTGATGCTTGATTCACATCCCTTGCATATGTGGGAATTGTTACAGGTGAAAGTCTCACATGAGTATAATTGTAGTTTTGAAAATGTATAAAGTAAGAAAAAAATGTCTTCAAACTTTAGATATATTTTTTCTTTTGCAGGCCATATTTTTGACTTTTTGGAGATTTTACCACGTTATAACATTGTTCCCTCATCAAAAACATGTCTGAAGAGGTTTTATACATCATCCATGTTTGAGTAATCTAGCGATCTCTCCTGGGCATTACTCAAACCCTGCTTATGGATAGCATAGTAGCTGAGTCTTGGACAAGTTCATACTGAACCTGTCTAAGACTCAGCCCACAAGCCTACTTTGTTTTCAGCAAATAAAGCATTTTCAAAAAAATAAAAGGTAACACGGTGATCTAGATATGTTATGTGTTAGCAATTAATACCTTTAATACCCCATAGAAGTGCAATACCTCCTTGTCAAAGTGTAGGGGTTCAATTCCTTTCAGTGTAACTATAATTGTACAAAGAGATGTAACAGAAAGTGCAGTTTTTGAGTTATTCAACAAAGTAATAAAAAAGCAAAAACTTTTATTATTTTTTTTTTATCACATCCTATTTAGAAGATGATGTCAGGTATTTCCTTGAGACCGAATTACAATTGGTTCTTAGAACAGACAAGACAAAGCCTTTGCCCTTGATTGGCCTCTTTTATTGCTACATGATTCCGACTTTATGGCATCAAATAAAAGGTCTGACTCAAACTATGCTCTATACACGCGATGTCCCGGTATCTTTAAATATCTTTGTGTGAAAAGTTAACGCTCCAGGCCCTGCTCCTAAGATAAGCCCAGAGCTCATTTCCACAAAAATGTCAAGTAGAACTCTTATTTATCTGATTTTACAACTCAAAAGCTTTTTTTTTCTTCACCATTCAGGGCAGGATGGTTAACATAATGAAAAGTAGTCACTCGATTGGCTCCAACTTGAAAGAAACTAGTGGACTGGAGTAGTGTTGTCACAATACTAACATTTCAAAGTAAATTTTGATTTTTGAATGAAAAAGTTCAATACCAATTTTGAAGACTTTTTATGCAATACAATGCAATTGTCAAATCAAAATAACAGATAATTTGATATTATTACCATACGATCTTCTAACGAATCCTCATAACAATCCTTATATAACTATATAGTTTTACAATCTACAATATAGTAATAAAAGTTGTAAATGCAGTAGTAGAAAAGTAGTAGGAGAAATCATTAATTCATTCTAACATTCTAACAAAAGTACAGTTTTTTTATGTTTTGTGTTTGGTTAGATTTTATAACTGACTTTCTTTATTTAGTCCTAATCTATCTTTGTTCTGTTCTTTGGTCTTACAGTAACTCATATACATTTGCATAAAAAAACATAATAATAATTAAAAGTTGCTGTCTAAATTAATTAAATTCTATTAAAATATTGTAAAATGCAATATTGCCATAGGAATATTAAACACAGTTACTGCAGTTTTCTAGATATGGCTCTACCCCAGCTCTGAACACATATAGTGACATTATTTGACAGAAAGCTGGATTAGCCCGTCTAGTCAAAAGGCCACTCCTATCACTCTGACTGACTGTCCACCTCCCCCCCGCTCAGCCTTCCTATCACGTCCGGCCAGATAGTGTGGTGGTTAAGGCCAGTGCAGTCACAGTAGTGCATGAGAGCTTTAGATTTAACAGGGGGTACATGAGGTGAACCATCGATTGACCCCCCCCCAGGCCCCCTGACTCATGCGTTATACAGCTCCAAGACCCCACCGACTATATGGGCTGTGATCGCTCAATATGTTTTGGACGGGGGAGAACTGAGCATGAATTGTCCATGATGACGATATAGACTACAGAGATGAAGAGAAACAAGTCAAATATGTTGGAAGGGAGGATACAAGAGGGGAGGTGGATATAGCAAATCCAAGGGGTATTCTGAATGTTTAAAGCTGGTTAAAGAGCCTATTATTTTTATCTCTAATACTGTTTCCTTACCAAAAACATACCTAGTGTTGTGGTCTGTTTCATTCATACATGTTTAACACACAAATCCTGCATATTTAGAATCACTTCTTCTCTCAAACGGAAAATGTTCCACTGTGTTTTTAAGCTCCATACACCTTCATTAGAATCATTTTGATCATTTCAGCTCTGGATTTGACTATCTCTACCCAACAACAAGGTAAAAGGAGCTGTTAAAACACAACTCCAAGTATGTTTTTGAGCAGGTAACAACATTATAACATGGCTTAAATCTCACAAGAGTCAATTTTGGTGGAATCCTGTATTTTTCAAAGCCTTGATAAAAATGTAAAGATAGCTAGAGGGGATTTAGAGTGGAAAAAATATGTTTTAACAGCCCGGCATGCTACTTAAATTTTTAACAAAGCAAAATACAGACGTACCTTAAATTACGTGTATATGAAATCTGTGACTACCTATTATATTTGGCCAAAACGTCCAACTCAGTGACTGATCTTGTCTGATCTCTATAGCTAAGCAGAGTTAGGCTTGGTTAAACTTGGATTAGAAACAGCTGGGAATACTGGGTGCAAAAGTGGGGCAGCTGTGGCTCTAGTGGAAAATCTAGTTGTGTCCTTAGGCAACAGACTTCACCCACATTGGTTAGTATGAAGACGGAGTGTGATTGAGTGAGTCTGAGGGGCAGATGGCACAGATTGGCTTTGCTTCAGTCAGTCTACCCCAGGGCAGCTGTGGCTACAGTAATACCTTATAACCAGCAAGTGTCGAGTGAATGAATAATGGCCAAAATTGTAAAGCAACTTTGAGCGTCTGGAAAAGTGCTACATAACACTAACTTGCTTCTTATATTACCACAAACCTTTAAGAAAGCGGAATCACATTTTGTGCAGTTATCTCGTTGCACAGAAGTGTTCAAATAAAGTTTTATGTGTACTCTTGTGCTGGAGAATTAAGTTTGATACTCTAAAAAAGCTAATATTGGCCAACCTATCTCAAAGAATATAATTTTCGCATCCATATTCAGTTTAAATGTATGTTTTGGTACAGATGTAATGTTTATTTTATAGACCACATTTTGAAGACTATGAGGAAAGACAACCATAGATACAATGTGTATTTTTGTGTTGACCATGCACCTAAGCCCCTCTGGCAATGAGTCTAAAAATACAGTGTCACATAAGGGTCAGCTCTTACATATGGAATCTGCACAGCACGGTTCCTCTCCACGGTAGCTTTGACTTCACTCAGGCTGCCATAGTCCCAGCGTGAGAGCTGGAAGCCCAGTGACCAGTAGGCGGGGATGACAGGCCTGCCAATGAGCTGGACAACATAATTACACATACGGTTAATGCATTTGCACTGGGACTGTCTCCATATGCCAGCCTCTATATTATGAGGCATTTGAGAGATCTGAAGAGGCTTACTTCAAGGAACTCCTGCACCACTTGTTCTGGTGTATCCCCAAAGACGATGTAGAAGTCCAGAACTCCTCCAATGGTCCTGTAGGTGACTGCTGGGGCGGGCTGCAAGGTCACCTCTGTAAGAAAAAACAAAAAACAAAGGGTAATAGAGATGTAATTCAGAGCAAATGTTATTTATGGGGTATCTGAATAGATCATTTTGACATGAGAAGGAGGGTCTAAGGACAGACGATGCCCCGAGTCAGGTATGATTTATGAATTTGTTTGTGCGTGTCATTGTTAGACCAAATCAACAATTTCTGTGCTGTAGGAATAGTGGGTTACACCATAGATTGTATACATTTTGTATTGTATTCTTAGTTTATGATCCACATAAACTATAATATAAAAAATGTACATATCTTTGGGAACTGGTTAAATTAGAACTAAACTAGGAAGGTCATGACTTAAACCAAATTACTGAATACATAGCTTCATCATTTTCACTGTATTATTAACAACATTTTCATATAATTACAATATATAGTATTTTCTTGTAACATTAGCTAATAACATTTTCATATATACAGCCTTTTCATGTTTAAATGTAATAAACTTGACTTGTTCAAATCAAACATAGCTTTCACTAATAACAGTTCCAATGGTGTCCCTTTTATTTATGTTTCAGTTTGAGGTTTGGGACAATTATCCAACCAGAAAGCAGAATAAGCCTTCCATGTGTCCCACATTTGGGTTGCCAGTTTCAGTGCTGAAATCCAGTTGATTTTGAGCCTAATAGAACTTTCTCTGATCTGAATCCTCACTATCTAAACCCCACCACATCACATCCAATCATTAATGAGTCTCTGCAGCTCAGTGAGTGAATTCTGGAGGTTCTGAGCTTTCACATGAAGCCTGTCCACATCGTGAGAAAAAAAGTGTTCTCTATATGCAGTTTTAGACACTGGCAACCCATATTCAGTTGTCGTTGTAGTTCCTTTTTTCAGTCAGTAGGAGTGCAGGCTACATACACTTCCAATTATTTAACTAAAACTCTAAAATCATCCTTTTTTATATCTCCACTAGCATGGGATGCTTTTATATGTGCTTATATTCACTTTTTTACCTTTGTATCTCATTCCTCTCCTTTAAGCTGCTGTCAGTATTGCTATGTCTATCCAAAATTCCTCTGCCAACATTTTGAGTCTACAGACCGGATGCGAAGCCAAACCCACATCAAATAAAAACAATTGAAAACCCACGCGCTTTTCTGAGACGGAAACATCTCAAACTAAAAGTGTGTTCTAAGCACTTGTGGGCAGGACAATATGCGCTGTAAGTTGATAAAATAAAGTGTAAATGTGCTTTGTAAGACGCCCGTCCTCATGTGAAATCAGCGTGTCAGCACACATTCCCAGCGCTCTCACTCATCCTCTGCTGGGTAAAACAGCCATGCAATATTCCCTTTGATTTGTCAGCACAGTTTTGATTGAGGCAAAAGTAGATCAATTTATGCCTCAGAGATGGAGTGTGGCTAATGTTCTGCGCGTCCTTGAACCATTGTGAGACATGAAAGGTGTATATTATGGTAAACTTACTGAACTTTAGCTTTTCAACATGTTTTATCCATGTTCTCTCATAAAAATCATACCTGGAGTTGGGTTTTGATTATGCTACATGTCTGAGTAATCCTTGCATACCCAGACATGTTCATTCTTAAAGGTGCATTGTGTAACTTTTCTGGTCGAGGGTTCATCAAATGCTTTTCCCTGTGGAGATGTTATTGCTTTGTCAGAAATATTTCAAGGTATTTAACCATTCTGTCTTCTTGGAGGTAAAGGTTACAGGTCAGATCTGTGGAGAGGCAACTCAGCTCACAGTCAGAATGCCTATTTTTCTGGGTATTTCTGAGCTATAAAACCACCTGTAATTGAATAAATGTAAGGTAGAGCTGTTTAACATCATACTGTGGAACATTACAGGCAGAGCAATGACATATCCAGTGCTTTAAACGAAATCCTTTAAACGACAGTAAAAAAAAAGCCTAACTAATGAACCTTAATGTAATATCTTCTCATATACCGTATTTTTCGGACTATAAGTCGCACTTTTTTTCATGATTTGGGTAGTCCTCCGACTTATACTCCGGTGCAACTTATAAAATTTTTCACACTGACAGCCGTACGAGGGCGCTCTAGGCTTGTGTGTCAGTATCTGCTACTCCTATTACTCCTGTACCACTGTCACTTCGCTCTACTGCGCATGTCTCCTCCAGAAAGAGTCACTGTTCTGCCTGTATCATGTCAGTCGATCGCACCAGTACTTCTGTACCAGTGAAAAATTTAAATTTAAGTGACTTCAATGACAACCAAAACCATCCTGTCGAGATTCAGAAAGGCCAGAATAATTCTAACTGGAACTGATGCTGAGTCTCACGACAGCTACGCCGAAGAGGAAGCAGTGCTCCGTTTACCTCCAGAGGTCACGGAGTTTCTCAGAAGTGACACCGAGGATGAAGATTTCAATGGATTTAGTGATTTGGAGTGAGACGGAGAATTTAGTAAACTTGTTATGTTGTTTATGCTATAGTTATTTGAATAACTGTCCATATGTTACATTTACAGTCTGTTGATCTCTATTCTATTGTTTTTACTATAACTTGCCTTTCAAGATGAAATGCCGGTTCCTGGTCTCTGATTTTATAAAATACATTTCTCCCAAAAAGTGCAACTTACAGTCTGGTGCAATTTATGTTTTTTTTTTCCTTCATTATGCATACTCTGGAGTGACTTATAGTCCGAAAAATATGGTACCATCTATTTAAGTGCAGTGCATGTACGTATGTTACTGTCAGAATATCAAATCCAATCTGCAGTGACTCTGCTAGTGATAGGCATTGGTGCATTTAAAGTCTGTGTTTCGTCATGCTTACTTGTGTTCTACTCACCCATTGCATTGCTGTTTAAGAGGAAGACCCCGAATGACTTTCCGCTCTCATCTTCCAGACAGAGGAAGAAGGGATAGTGTCCGTAGAGGTTGTGTGTTCCCTGCAGCAGAGACAGGAGAGTCACAGGGATGAAGGGATGAAGCGATGAAAGGATGAAAGGATGAAAGGAGGAGAGGGAGAGAAGTTGGTCACAGAGGAGAGACGGGAGAGGTAGCGGTGTTTTTTTTTTTTTTTTCATGATCAGTAACAGCAAAAAATGAAACCTTTGCCAGTTATTTGAGTAGGGGGACATCACAGAAACAACACTTATATTTCAGTAATTTTGGATTAGTTTTATTTTTCCATAATATAAATAATAATTTTATATTAAAGGATCACTGTGTAACTTTTCTGGTGGGTCTGCAATGTGCTTGACTCCATGGAGATGTTATTGCTTTGACTGCAGTGTTCCCCAGTTAAACCTATCTTCTATCTATATATCTATCTATTTTTCTTTCTACCTTCACTGAGGAAAGCATACAAAGCATCTCCATAGAGACAAGCAGGTAGTAGACCCACCAGAAAAGTTACATAGTTCACCTTTAACCTCAATTAAATAATTATATCTGATGTCCAATGTGCAGTATCTGTCAAGAGTTCAATAAGAAATACATTTTATCTCACAATTAGCATTTTTTATATGCACAACCGAATTGGCCCGGCACCAATCAAACGCCTGTTTCCTAGTGCTCCCAACATTGTCAGATACAGGCACACACACAGACGGTCCACCCAGGCCCAAAGGCAGTTAATTGGTCCACTGTGTCCCCACAATTATTTAGTCTCTTGAGTTTAAAATTATAATTTGGCAGCAAAATTTCTCATTTTGAATTCAAACTAGTTAATTTGAGAGAATAATTTTAATGGGTAGTTGGTGGGCATAATAAAATTAGATGTTTTCAATTATGTTATTGTGACGGGTCTAAGTAAAGCATAAATTGGACTCGCAAAGAATATAGCAATATTCATAAGTAGCAGTCTGAGAAGGAGCTAAGGTTCTCTGCAGTAAATGTAAAAATGTATCTGCAATATGTAACTAATGTATGTTTGAAGGGACTAGTAATAAAACACCTGTAATTTAATACATGCAACATGTCCAATGTCATACACAGCATGGAACATTTCAGGAAAAGCAATAACAGATCTATGGAGACAAATAGACGGCATGTAACCTTGCACAGCAACATGGATTCTTGTGCTATTTGTGAGTTCACAAACTCATGAGAATTCATCTTGGCATGCCCCAACTGCAAGGGTAATTGGGTGGGTGGACCAATCACAGAGGAGCATTGAGGTTTGTGTGGAAGCCAAGCTCCAAGCGCCCAAGTGAACCAAAACACACATGGACGCCGACAGACATACTTCATTTGTGTCAATATTTTAGTGTCAATATAGACTATTTAGTTTGTGAAAAACATGCAGGTCAGCACTTTGTGCATTTGTGGACAGGAAATATATCTGTGCTTTTCTCTCTACTGAATGTAACAAGTTATTTTGGGGCTTTCACAACAGCCAATCAGATTCAAATAATTGATGTTCCACATTTTACGATCACTATCAGCGAGAGCCATCCCAGATTAATAATGTGTAGAACTCAATTCAGAGTGCTGCAAATAGCAACGGCCTGCCCTCCACCAGAAAAGTTACATTGTGATTCTTTAAACTAGTCATGGACAGCCAGCACCATGTTGAGCCAGTTTCAACACAGCGTTCATCAGGGAATACTTTTTTTGTGAATGGACTACTATAAAACTACTATACAACATCTGATATGACCATGTGAAGTACTTTGGATGACAAGTTAGCATGATAAGCGAAAGAGAATGCTTCTTTGACATTCATTTATAAGGTTTGGTATATTGTACATTCTTTACATTCTCCATTCAGATGGGTCTTGGCAAGTGAATTCACCCCTTAATGTAAGTATAATATTGTTATATGCAGCATTTGGAGCACTTTTTTCCAGTTCATAACATAGTATTTAGTTTTAAATTGTTATTTGCTGTGGCAACAGTCCTAAAATTTCATAATTTTTAAGACCACGGATATGTACAGCACGTATCTCACCCCATTGGGAAAAGCATCTCTGGTGAAAATGGGCCAGGTCCTCCAGTTGGTGTCATGGCGGAAATTCTGGTGTACGTGCTCCCCTAGGCCGTAAATATTATGGGATGGCAGCTTGGCTGATATCTGGAGGTACTGATCTGCAAACACCAGCGGGGCCATGGTGGTGTCAAACCTGCAAATATATTCAGAAAAGGGAGAAGTAAACAAGAGGGCAGACCAGTACTGGGAACGTGAAAGAGGGAGAGCATTTGGAAAAACTCAAGTGAGATTCAGAGCAGAGGAGAGACAGAGATGTGCGAGGGAGATGAACTGTAAAAAAAAAAAAAAAAAAAAGAAGAAAAAAAAAAGAAAAAAAAGATAGATAGAACGGCCCATCAAGCTGTAATAAGCCTTCTGGGTGGGAATGCTCACAGCTTCAAAACAAGATATACTTGGTTAGTTCTAGACAGCACATCTATGGAGCCCAGTTGGTTTTTGACCTATTCACATGACTTCAGGATGCAACACTAGCAAGTTTATAAGGTTAAAGATAAGGTTAAAGAGTAGTCTAGGACTCATCAATTCACCGTTTTACAGGTCAATAAAGTAAGATTCAAAATGATAGGGGCAAACGTTTATAAAGGCTGGAACAATAGCAGTTTTATAGCCTATTCATGGTTTTATTTCCATAATAATAAAACCCTATCATAACCCAATGGCAAATGCACATTGTGGTATTGTGCAGTTGTGCTGTAAAAGATCATTCTATGCATTAAAATGTTTGATGACAACTTCTGGAAGGTTTAACAGTGTATTACATAATTACATAAATTACAAAGAATAGTTTTGTGAAGTTCAAGTGGTGCATTTTTCAGGTAACACTTTATAATGACTGCATTTTAATAGCCTTAATTAAGCTTCAACTTAATTCATAATGAACAAATAATTTATTTAGAAAGGTCAAACTTGATACTCAACAGTACTTTCTTAGTAATACTTTATTTTATGTTAAGATGTGGCCTTCTGTGTAATCCTTTAGTCATCCAGGTATGTTCTATAGTTGTCCATGGGTGTGTACAAGTCTATGGTCTGTGGTCTTTTCAAGAAAGGTTCATTTCTGTACTGTGAATGTGACTTTTTTTTTTTTTCTTCGCAGTGATGCTCAAACGAGTATCTAGTTTCAGTGCTAGTTTTGTTTTGTCAATTGGTGTCTGATTTTCGATACTAGTACCTTCTAACTCTAACTCTTAACCCTGATTAAGTAGTCACTAGACTTTATGAAGGCTAATTAAAATGTAGTTAAAATACCAGTTCCATTTGTTTGAATACAACGCATTTTAAATTACATTTTCCATTATGTAAAATGTGACCTAATTGTGGCCACAGTTAAGGTAAATTGAGGATATATCAGTTTATTGTATTTATTTATTTACTCTCACATATGCATGTATTATTTCCCAAGGACAGTGCACTTTCTAAGTAGCAAGGACCATTTCAACCAGTGGAGGTACTGTAGCCAGAATTCAGCATTGATGATTATTATTATTGGTAATAGTAGTAGTAGCAGTAGTAGTATAATTTTAAATTGTAGTAGTAGTGATACTAGTAATAGGAGTAGAAGGAATAAAGCAACCATTCACCAACATGTGTATTCCTACAGTGTGGGGTGAGCAGAAAACACAGGGAAGACATATGTCTGACATCTCACTGTCAGCTGCGATACCTTTATACAGTGGTAACGTAAAATATGTTGTGTTTCCATTTGAATACATGGAGCCTGTAAATAGCTGATAAAAGATAAAGCTCGTCCTTGCTGTTCTGACTGTACAGATCGATCTTAATCTCTCCAGACGCACAAACACATATGTAGATGGCTGCATTATCAAACCACGGCACAAGAATTTCACTTTATCTTGATGGATGGAGCGATAGAAACATGGGCTTCTTCTGCTATATATCATATCTTTCTATTTGTATGAGAACATGTACCATAACATGTAATATACACAAATCAGTGTACCGTTCTGCTCTAGTTTACTGGTTTTATATAGGAATGGGTCATGTTTGTTTAACTTAACCCTGAATCATTTCATCTATACTCTTACAGGGCACCATAGTGGCATGGCTTGTCTAATTTATTACATATAGGGCATTTACTGCACTTTCAACAGGATACAATGTTTATGCTATCTACTTTTATTTATTGCAGTACACAGTCCTGTCTTATTTATTTTAACAGGCTCATATTACGCTATTTTCTGGTCTATGTTATAACGTTTCCTCATCCGAAACATATCTGGAGTTGTGTTTATGTTTATTCACACATGTTAAAGAAAACAAACCCTGCAAACTTAAGAGTTCTTTTTTCAAACTGAAAACAGTATAAATATATAAATGCAATGATTAATTAATTAATTAATAAACACAACTCCAAGTATGTTTGAGATGAGAAACATTATAACAGATCAGAAAAGAGCATAAAATGGATCATTTATACTTAGGGCAAACTCCAACATTGTCTTATCTACATCTATGTTCAAATTCATCTTCACGCAAATTCTCCATTGTGTTTAGCCCAAGCACACATGGTGGGTCCATACATGGTGTATACTCACAGGACTTTCTTGTTCTCCTTCCTGCGCACAATAATGCCAAAGGAGTCGTGTGTGATCTCCATGGTGTCGCTGATGGGGCTGGATGGCTGAGCATTCAGCCCGCGGATGTGATCATGGGGGACCTCGAACCGCTTCTGCTGGGGGTCATAGATCTGAGAAGAAAGAGCATTCATCACCATGAAGCCAGCGCTGCAGACGGACCAGAGAACTCATGTTTGTATTCTGAGTTCCCTTTCATTCTGTCACCATCATTGGTCACAATAACTGTTTTTTTTTATGTTTTAATGAATGTAGCTGTAAATGTGTGTTTTGCTTCAGAATAAACAAGAAGAATAGGGCTGGAACTAAGGATTATTTAAGTAGCAATACATTTTTTGATTCATTGACAAGTTCAGAAATTATTTCTATTGTAATCTGAGGCTTTTAAAATACATTATCATCTAAATAAAGTCTTTCAAACAGGGAAGGCTCTTTGCATTTTCATTCTTATCATATCCTATTTAAGAAATTATAAATTGCCTTCAGTTACATTTATAGAAGTATGTATATCTTAAATTAGAATGCCAATTGCTACAAAGAAAAAGCATTTACGCAAAAAGCAACTAATCAAATTAAAGTTTATTTGTATAGCATATACATTTTACCAACACCAAAACTCTGTGCAGCCTCCGATAAAACCAGTTTGAGCCTAGACAAAAGCCAAACGTGATAAAAACTGGATTCAATCAGGGCATTATCTGCTTGTCAAACTTAAAATCTTCATCAATGACATCAAATTGGTGACTGTAGGTTTGATGTATTGTTGATAAGAGCCCATGTCAAACTGAAAATTAGAAGTGCTTGGGTTAAAAATATCAATTGAATTTCCGTTTTGAACTCATTCAAATTTAAACAAATCATAGCCAGCCAAGCCTTGGCATCATCCAAACATTTCACTGTTATTGATGAGCTTCTCATGTTTATGAACATGACTAGGAATGCACAAGTAATCACAACTGGAAGTTCAGTTTGAATTGGAATACTGCACTGTACTGTAACAAATTGTCCTCTGTAAGCTTTAAATTCCTTCTGTGATCCCTGTATATTAGACTTCAACAGGTTATGAAGTAGGGGCAAACCCTGTACTTTTGGAGTTCATAGTTTTATAATTAAGCAAGTGCACAGAAAAAGCTCTATCTAAGGACTGCAAGGCATGAACATATTTACAGTTTTTTTATTAGAACTAACTCAAGGTGAAATAATAGAGAGCTCTAGTCTTGCATGTTCATCATCTGTTAAATATTAACTGTTATGGCAACATGACGCCTTTTCCTGCCTTTAGTGCTATAAAAGAGCATGTGTCTTGATTATGTTTATGGTGGAAAACCACCTCATGATTGCACTGTATTTCCCCTTTGTCACAGTGTGTACCTTAAAATGAAGGCGCTTGGGTGTCTGCATTTCTGCATGAAGAGCCAGCTCCTGAATATCTCCCCCAAACAAAGATGGAGCGGTCTTCCTTTTAAGAGTGGCTTTCAATGCTGAAATAAAAAATATACGATTATATTTAAAAAGTATTCATTTTTATTTGTAGTTTGTGTTATGAGTAGTAAATGGTGGAAGTCTAGATAGGCTACGGTTATCCTTGTGTCTTGGCATGTTTCTTCTTTCATATAATGTTCAAGCTAAATACTGCAGGACACAATTTCAATATTGGATTATGTGCGTATGACAGGTTTTTACGTTTTTAGAATTATTACTTTGTTTGGTGGGACAGTGTATTGTTTAAAAAAATAACAACTCAATTAAACAAGTTTTATCCCTTATACCTCTACATATGTCCTATAAGCTGCCCATTTTAAGTACAATTATAAACCTCAGCAAAAGTTAAAGAAATCTAACAAAATTTATAAGTGAAACCTTAAATAGATGTGACGTAAGTTTGTTTTAATGAAATCTTCCATATGCACTTAAAAGGTCTGGGCTGATGGATGAGTCAAATACCCAAGAAGACTATATAAAAGACTTAGTAATTATGGACTATACTTTAACTATAGAGTATTAATTAATATGGATCCTACACAGGACACAATGAAAGACAACTATTTAATGTATTTTCATGATAAGATGGCAGCAGTAACTCTATGATCCCCCATATGCATAAACATAAGTAGATTAATGCAACTATTCTTTATTCTGCCAATAAACATCATACCACAAGGATTTCAAATTAAACACTTGAAATGAGATTAATATCTTTAGAAGACAACCATATCCCCATGTGTCTCATTCACCATTCAGATCAAAGGATTCCTGATGCTTAGAGAGACCATGCACATTAAGGGCTCAGAGGGAAATGCCTCTTATTTGCATAGCTGCCTCAAGTGATATATATACAATATTTGAAGACAATTTAAGTATTATATAAGTCTTTCATTTATGTGGCTGAGAGTCTCAACTGAATACCAAGACGGTGAAAAATTGTCTTTCATAGCTCTCTTCTCACTTCTAAGCACTTCCTATTTTTCAATCTAACCACCTTTACCACACCAAAACAACCCTTCGCCAATACATTTTTCACCTTAAAATGATGTTACGCTATTATCTCGAGGTTGGGTGAACGTTTATATATAAAAAATGTCCAATGAATTTTTGTTCTTTGCACAATAACCGGGTTGCCAACAATGCGGTGAAATCAAGCGAGAAATGGGAAAGCCCGCATGCCGCAAAGTCAATCATGTTTTCTGATATGCCATCCTTGTCATATTTCACAGAAAGTTATGCCCACGGCGAAGTAAGTAGGGAGCGGGGGATTGTATGTGGAGGCTGAAAGATTGATGGAACACAGTGATTGTTTGACTTAGAAAATAGGCTAAGCAAAACTAGAAGTCAAATATTTTAGTTTGGGCAGGGAGCTGTGTGGGTGTAGAGGGAATAGCAGGTTTACCATTAGGATTGGAGTGATCCGTTGATGTCACCGTGTATCCGTGATTTGAGGAGAAGAAGCACCAGGGGACATTCCTCTCATCCAGAGGGCTCCAGCAGCAGCCACGCGCTTCACATAGTTGCTGTCAAATAATATGAAGACGTTAATACAGGAATATATGTAATGAAACTAAGGATTATTTTAGTAGCCAACTAGTCAGCAATTCATTTTCATTCGGATTAGTTCACAAGTTTAACAATTACTTCTAGGGATGACATGAGACACAATTTCCACAAGACGAGATAAGAGATATGAGATTGGGTCCACAAAAACGAGACAAGATGAGCTTTTAACATAATTTCTAAAATATACATTTCACGATTCAGTTTCCAATTTGGCCTCACCATTTTTTTAAATTTGATTTCATATTTTTGTTTCCATTTTACTACTGCTTTTGGAACTGTGAGAGATGTAACTCACCAATACGTGACCCTTTTTGTCCATTCTAAATATGAACACGTGAAAAATAATAATAATAATAATAAAAATCTCACAAGAACATTTTTCTTTTGTGTGCACGATCTTGTGACAGTTTTGTCTCATTAGATCTTGTGGCCATAAGCTAATTAATTCTATTGTAATTTGAAACTTTTTAAATACACGATAAACTAAATAAAGTCTTTCAAAAAGGGGAACCTCTGCATTTTTATTCTTACCACATTCCATTATATAAGAAATTGTAAATTACCATCAATTACATTACATTTGTCTAGATATGTATAGCTTCAATCAGAATGTCAATTATTTACATTTGATTATTAAAAACACAAATTAATCCAATCCAACTGTATTTATTTAGTCATTTATGTGAATATATGTATATATGTAACAAGATCACAAACTATATAAAGCGTGCATGTTCAAAAAATTCAGTAGTAGTTCAGCTGGCTCCACAAAGTAAGCAGATTAATCTTATGTTTTAAGCATATGTCAGCTGGTAACTCAAACACCACTGGGGTCCAATAATGGTACCAGCACCACTTTCTGAAACTTTAATAAATACGTTTTATTTATGAGTATGCTGATTGTCAGAAGTATTGAAAATCAGGTACTAAGTGACTGAAGAATGACACAGATATAAAGCCACATGGTGATTTTAAAGAAAGCACTACTATTTAAAATTGAAAAGCACATTTTATCGAATCTATGTCTGAGAATCAAAATCAAGTTTCAAATGTTAGTATTGTGACAGTGTATTATGATGACAGAAAAGATATTGATTTTTGTGCAAATGTTTGTTTCATGTTTTGTAATTACAGAGATATAGCCATAAACCTGGAAACATTTGCATTCTGACAGGAAAATGTTAACAGATGTCTGACTTCCAATGACTTCCTCCAGTTGTGAATGTTGTCATGTTACATTCACTTAAGATATTAACATTTCAAAATGGCAAGACTACTTTCGAATAATAGTTGAAAATAGGCCTTAGTTTAATGTGCTCACGGATTAAACCTTATCATATTGATAGCTATCATCGCCTGTCTGTGCATTTTAGCTTAAACGTTTTATATTTTTACAGTAAGCAGCATGTAAAGGTTATTTGGCTGTATCTCCATCTGTGGTGTGCTACAGTGTCTTAGACAGAATAATAGCTTGTACCTTGGAGGCTCCGGCGTTAGGATGGCAGTCCACTCGGTTCCCCAGGGGGATATTTGGACACTGAGGAACGATGGTGATGGCGCCTCCTGGTAAAACAGAAACAATGTCTGCATTTGACCACAAAATCCAACACATAAAGCAAATCCACACATTGCAATTATAACTGCAGTCTATCATTTGGAAAAGAAGCTTTAAACTATTCAATGCAGAAGTGTGTTTGCTGCACTCGTCTGTGTGCTCTCTGCTAGCTCGCCTTGCACACTCTGCATGTGTTATGCTAGTTTGTGTGTTAGCTTAAAATTGTGCAACTGCTTTAGCCAGACTGATTATCCTGTGTAAATAAAGAACATAATACATTACATATTACCTTCTTTGAATTTTTATTTTTTATTTATTTATTTTTTTTAAATGCGTTTTGGGGAAAAAATCATTATATTTTCCATTTTCCCTCTTTTTGCCATAGTTTCCCATTCTGCAGTTAAAGGTGCACTCTGTAGCTTTTCTCGTTGGGGGCTCCACCAACCTGCGCTGCCAGAAATGAAAAACGCAGTCCATGGCACGGCTGTATTTTCCACTTATGGATCTATTGTATTGTAGTTCTATTTTTCCATTGTTTATATGAAAGCAGCGCTCCTCCCGCCACCGCATCTCGAACAAATAGAAGTTGCTCAGAGCGCTGATGGTTTTGGTTATGAAGATTTGTCCTCAATAGCACTAGGATCATTAGGATTATTCTAAAATCAGTACGTTTTACATGGAAAATATATTTGGCCAAACTCGCCGACAATATTTTTCACCCACCACGTCCGCGGGAAACACTGACAACACTGCAGCCACCCAAGTGCTGCTATTGTTTTTCCTGGAATGTCCTGCAGTATGGTAGTAAACAATCTATCAATCAACCATTTATTTAATTAAAAAACATGAAATATTAATGCACTGTGAGCAGGTTTGCCTCTCCATAGATCTTACCTGTGACCTGGTCCTCTGATGTCACCTGCTTGTCTCCATGGAGATACATAATTTAATTGCTATACTGCAGAACATTTCAGGCAAACAATAATAACTCAACGGAGACAATCAAGTGGCATACTCCACCTGAAAAATTATAGTCAGTGGTGAAATGCAACTAAGTAAAAGTAGTAAAGTACTGTACTTATGTAAAAAAAAGAAAAGAAAGAAAATCAGTATCTTTACTTATGTAGATTTTAAAGTGGATACTTTTTACATGTACTTCTATACATTTGAGAGCAGATATTTACTTTCTACACATTTTATTTTTTATTTTTTTGTTATAATGTGAGACCTGCTAAAAATACTGAGAGGTTTATTTTTAAGATTCTGCTTTATAAGAGCGCAAACGTAGATGTTTTCAAGTGATACTTTAACTTTTACTTAAGTATTTTTTTGCTCTGTTATCTGTGCTTTTACTTAAGTAAATAAATTGAGTACTTCTTCCACATCTGTGTATAGGACACCTTTATACGCTGTGAATAGTTAAGCAATATGGTTGAACTCTCTTTCTTTGGGTTACAGCAATAGGTGAACGAACACCCAACCTACTGCACCACTGTCACTTCAGTCGCACTGCTGAGTAAGTGATATAATTAATATCCTCTAGCCTGTGGATCTTTTAGGGAAGTCATTTCTAAATATAAATACCTTTGTCTTTCTTTTTATCAAGATGCAGTCCTGTAACCTACGCACCAGACTCACCATCTCCGCTGCGTCCCTTGTCTGTGACGTAGAGCGCGATGAGGGCGACACAGACAATGAACATCAGAAGGGCTATGGCGATGAGGATCATCTCCAGTCCCGAGAAGCGCCTTTTCCCCATCTACAGTAACAGCACACAGGGACACAGAGGCCAAAACCATTAACACGCAGTAATGACAACATTCTGACTACAGGCAAGGTCTCCAAGGTCCTCCCCAAACCGCCTAATGAGCCCCACTGGAGAGGTAAGACACACACAAAATCACAGACGCAATATAGCCACATAAATTACTACTAGGCTATACTCTTAAATCAAGTAAATAATAAAAAGGGCACTCAACAAGGAGGAAATTACTATAGTAGATGTTTTTTGAATAGTTTAATCAGTGCCCTGGATTAAAGAGCGAGAAAGAAGGCTAATCAAATTAAACCAAACAAGCTGGATTTTAAAGGCTTGTTCCTGCAAAAAATAAACATAAAAAATGGAAATTGTAGCCTGTTTGTTATTCTAGTCCCAAAATAGCAAATAAAACATGAAAGCAGTCATATCAGTGAATTTGAGAACAGTGTAGTTAACACAGAGGTGTAAAGTTATGATCACGGCCTGGGTGTGCTAAAATTTCAAATTATCGATATTTCGTGATACTAAAATTGGTAATAGCCTACAGTATCATTATTATGGGGGGGTGTCCTGCATGTCACAGTATTTTCCAATATCCGAGAGTGTTCAAAAAGTGACTTTTGGAGTTTCGGTATATATTACAAAATTTTGTAACAGCGCTATAATTTGTTTTACGTGTTTATGCAATACTTTTCATTGTTGTGATGATTAAAATGGGTGTATTTCATATTTAATTTGTACAGGTAGTGGTTTAGAAAAGTAATACTATTGTTAAGCATTTGGTTCATAAAAATAGTGAGTAGCAGGAGCAATAGGGTCTATACTGCACTATTTTATGTTATAATGTTAATTCCTCATCACAAACGTCCTGTACCTTTACCGTGTTTTACACACAAACCCTGCCTATTTAGGATGACTTCTTCTCTCAAACAGAAAACACTCTTGCGATGTCATGTCCACTGTGTTTTTAAACTCTGTGGAATTGACAATCACTTCTGAACAAAAGATAAAAAGTAATTGTTAACTTGAAAACTACCACTACATGAAATCACAAGTTGGAACAGAGCATTTTGAACTTTGGGAGTGTAGACAGGATTACTCAAACAGGTGTGAAGGAAACAAAACACAACTCCAGGTCTGTTTTTGAAGAGGTAACAACATTATAACATGGCTAAAGCTCACAAGAGAATTTTAATTATTGCATAGTGTCATTTTATATTTTATAGTACTGCGAGCCATGTATTGTATATAGGGAAGTAACGATATCCAAATCTCACGGTACGATATTGATTGCGATATTTTGGAGAGGCTAATATAATTGTAGATAGGAAACATTTTTGCTTTTAAAATACTTGGAAATAATTCACACAAAAATTTTGTCAATCATAATGCCAAGAATTCAAGTAAAAAAAAACAACATATCTCTTCATGTTGTCTGTGCTGAAATGAATCATGGGATATGTAGTTCTCGATGTCTAAAAGCTGTTGCTACTATAAAAAAATGCATTTAAGCAATGGAACTTGTAATTCGATATATTGTGGCAGTCCACGATATTATTGTAAGAGTTCTGACGATATATCAGGATATTTTGGTTATTGTTACATCCCTAATTGTATATCGTATCAAATCATCAGTTGCAATGCGATAGTTACCTGTAGTTATAATACAGGAAGTACTTATTGTAAACTAGATATTTGGGGGGACCATTGTTTTACCTGCATGTAGTATCTATACTTGCTTTCCGCTACAGCGACACAATCTTAGCCCCTAAAATAATGCCTGTAGGACTTTTTTGCCACCATTTCTTTGTCAAGTTCAGTCTTTATCAATACAGTCGTCCAGACTCACTCATCGGTTGCTTAGTAGGCTTAGACTGAGACAAACTTTATTGATCCACAAGGGAAATTATTTGAGCACAGTGGCTCACACATCACAATATAATATAGTAACAAAGAGCAAACATATAAATGGTAACAATAAATTCTAAATAAGTAGCAAAAAAGATAGCAAGAGAAAGGTGTCAAATAAGACATAAAAGATAAAATAGAAAGATAAGTAATAAAATATAAAAACACAGTTTTATACAAGAGGTCATAGGAAGTAGTAGTATTTTAATATTGCATCATAGTATTTTAATATTTCAGAATGAAAGTCAAATCTCAGACCAATGAATATTTTTCTACTCTAAATTCTTCACTTTAGTGTTTTGGTGTGAGTTCAATTGGGCAGTTTCTAAATGTTGCTAGTTTATTTTCTTAAGAACGCTTCATCTTTAAATAATTATATCTTATCGAATTGGCTCAGAAAATGATGCGCACATTCCAAAACATTTTCCCCATTCTCAATCATGGTGACATTGAATTTATACCAGCCGCAAACCGTATAACTGATTTATATTTCATTTCAAAATGGGTAGCCGAATGTCACACAAGAGTTAAAGGCAGCCGTCAAATTAATCTGGTAATTAGGCTTCTCTCCAAAGTCCCGTTAAGAGACACAAAACAAGGTGAGTGTGTGAGAATGTGAGTGGATGGAGGGTATTGGGGAAAATGAGAGGCTCAGAGTGGTGCTGTTTAATGTCCTGTGAAGAGCGGGCAAGGGCAGACCCACAGCCAAATGTCTGCCTGCCCTGCCCATTTGCCATCTCTTTCATTTTCTATGGAGGAAAAACAGAAACGACTCAAAACAGAACAGAGCAACAACAACGTTCAGGTGTTAAGTCAAATAAAAAGTAAATTATAGTTTTTCAGTCTTCTATTGTTGAATTTGGCTGACAGATGTGGTGGTTAGTGAGTGGTGACTATTCCCGCTGTGAGCAAGTCTAGTGGTAGCAGCTTTTTGTTGAAAATTCTGCTTCAAATATGATTTTTTTTTTTCTTATTTTTGTGGTCTTTCCTTTGAAAAGACAAGATTAAAGGTACCCTATGTTTGAAGCTCTACCTGATACTCCGACAGTATGGTCAGTGCCTTCAGCAAAAATACTATTACTATACTCAAGTAGAAGTACTAAGTTGTTGTGTAATACAGTAATTTTTTTTAAAAAGTTGCAGTCCGGGGTATTTGGAGAAACTACTACATTAAAAGAGCTGTAAGAACAACTGTCTGAGCATAATATCTGATTCAAAGTTAATTTAATTGGAAAAATACAACATTAAAGGTGCCCTGTGACAAAGAAGGCCTTTGTCCCTATTTATTCATTTAATTTCAGTTACATCTGTTTCCATAATCAATTAAATAGCTAAATATCACTATCCCGGGTTTGTTTTAGTTAGTATTTGTTTAGTTAAGTTAATCACTTCACACCAGTTACTTTAAATATATTTTATTTGGTTGTATTTTGTTACACAGACAACTGACCACCTTGCCTGTTACTCCACATGGTCTAGAGATAAAAGAGTGGGCGTGACTTAGGTCAGCCATATTTGTA